AATAATAATAATAATAATAGTTGTGGTGGTGGCAGTGGTTGTTGTTGTTGTTTCTGCCCTACCCTTAGCACACTTCCAGGAGCAGAACAGGTCACTCTTGCCAGAGGTCTGAATTTTTTGTAGAAAGCTTGCCCCACTCCTTCCATTGCTCCATCTGGGATCTTCCCAGCCATGTGAAATGAGGTCAAGGACCATTGAGATGCAGTTACCCAACCCAGCAATGCTTTGAGGGACTAGGTTAAGGAAGGTCTTTATCCCTTAGCAACGAAACCAGTCGCAGAGCAATAGCAACCACAGAAAAAGCTGAAAACCAGGTGCGAGCTGCCTGATTGCTGCAAACAAGCGCACCCTGAGAAACGGGCAACCTTTCCCACATGGAAAGCTGGTCAACTGTACTCATCCAGACTGTGGTACATTTCTCCTGGAAACAAACGACCTGACCTAAAGAATAAAGGAAACATAAAACCCAACCACAAGCTTTTAAAAAAGCAATGCATAGATTCCCTACAGGCAAGAGGTACAGCTGCATCTTACCACAAAAAGGGTGGTGATGCTGGGAGTTTAGCAACCAGTATGTATCCATCACAAAAGATAATAAGGAACAGTGGTGTTCTCTGGAACAAGCATATGTTAAATGACTATAAAAGCTCGTTCCTATAAAGTTCCATCACACGGAGGCGGGTTAGACGGCACACCATATGCATTCAAAGGACAATGGGATTATGCCTGAGAGCAATGACACCCCCCTTTCCTGAGTCGGGCCATGTTGCTCCGTTGGCTAGCCATGCATCCTGCCCAATGGTCACACCTTCCACCATTTGCATGTTTAGCATGCTTGAAAAGAGGTACTACTGAGAGGAAAAACAATGTTCTCCTCTCCCCACTCACCACTGCAGAAGTATTTTCTGGAGGAAGACATCTGGATCCACAGCAAAAAGAATTAGCAACTGAGCTCGTGCTTTGAATTGATCGGCTGGAAAGGCCCTAAATATTTTTTACATAAAAAATCAAACAAAATAGGGAAAACAAGTCTAAATTGTTATTATCTTATACAGTGCAATTCTAGACATTTCTACTTAGAAGCAAGCCACACTCAGTTAATAGGACTTATGCCCCGATATGTATGTGTAGGATTGCAGCCACGGTGACTCCTATTTTTATGGCATATAGTGAGTGCAATGATATATTACTTCTTTCTGGTGTTTTATCACTAGGGGAAGCTCACCAGCCCTTTATGCTCAACCTAACTTTCAGTAATTGACCATGGTTGTAAAATGTCTCCAACAGGCAAATACACACTGTTGCTCCACATCACTCTCATGGACTGAAAATGCCAATTATTTTTCACATTCTATGTACGTCATTCGGTAGTTGGAATTGCTCCCTATCTTGCCCTGAGTATCAGTTGGGATGGACAAAACTGCCCTTTGGCCAGGTCACTGTTTGGTTTAGGACATCCTGTTTGTTTGGATGCAGTGATCTGACGACGCCCACCATGCCTGCCGTCATTGTAAAATGTAAACAGGGTCTGGCATCTTGTGACCTTATGGCCAGGAGAGCCTCACCTGAGTAACGTAAACAAGGCTATTTTGAAAGTGGGCTTTTAAGCTTTAATCTCTCTTCCAGGAACAAAGGAATTTCGGTGTTCTTTAGGGAAAGCAATTTATAGTAGACCTATGACTAAATGGGCACAAGATGTTGGACATAATATTATGTTTGCTGACTGGGAACAGTTATGGACCACAGGTATGAAGTTTACGGCATGTAATGCCTTAAGAGAGAATATTATGAAAATGATATACAGGTGGTACATAACCCCAGTCAAGCTTGCAAAAATCTACCATTTGCCCGATAATAAATGTTGGAAATGTAAAGAAACTGAAGGTACATTCTTTCACCTTTGGTGGACGTGCCCAAAGATCAAGGCTTTCTGGGAAATGATATATAATGAATTGAAAAGGTATTTAAATATACCTTTCCGAAGAAACCAGAGGCCTTTCTTCTGGGCATTGTCGGCCAATTGGTGCCAAAGAAGGATAGAACTTTTTATGTATGCAACAACAGCAGCAAGAATACTCATCGCAAAGTATTGGAAGACACAAGATCTACCCACTCTGGAAGAATGGCAGATGAAGGTGATTGACTACATGGAACTGGCGGAAATGACTGGCAGAATCCGAGACCAGAGAGAAGAGACGGTGAAAGAAGACTGGAAGAAATTTAAAGACTATTTACAGAAATATTGTAAAATTAAGGAATCTTAGAAGGATGTTGGATAGAAACTAAGGGTTTTTAGCTGTAATGCTTTAAGAGATATGAAAAAGGTTTGCAACTGGGTAATTTCAATGGTAAGGATTTGCTGAATCAACAAATTGAACTGGAATACAAAAAGGGAGGTATGAGGAGGTCCGGGAAATAAGTATAAGGAAGATAGGTTATGGAAATTTAATGTCCTTTTAATTGTTTTATTTGGTATGTTTTCTTTTATTTTTTACTTCTTTGGTTATATTTTTTTAAAAAACTTTATTCTTGTTCTTTCTGTATTCTGTATTTTTTGTATTTTTTTTTTGAAACTTTAATAAATATCATTTAAAAAAAAATATATAGTAGACCTTCCTGCTTGTAACAATATGAATCAATAAACTAAGGTTACCAGATTTTTTTCAATCAATCCGGGAACACTTTAATTAATTAATTACTACACGTTCGGGACGTTGATGCTGCAGCAATGGCAGTGGCAGAGGGGCAGCCACTGCCTTGACCTCAAGCGCCACATTTCCCCTTCCTCTGAGGCTTCTCTCTTCTTTCATCATGAGCCTGGGCAGCCCCTGAGTTGTTGGTTCTTTGGTGGTGGTGGGTTAGACATGGAAGGCGGAGGAGGGCCGAGAAGCGGCGGCGGCAAGGCTCGGGCAGTGCGATGCCTCCCTTCCCATCGGAGCAGCCCCAATCCCATTCCTACTTGCATGCAAGCAGGAGGGAGCAGGGATCCCTCAGCTGGGAAGCGAGGCTTCACACTGCCTTTCGGAGCAGCCCCATCCCAACTCCTACTTGCGTGCAAGCCAGAGGGGCAGGGATCCCTCAGTTGGGAAGGGAGGCTTCCCGTTGCCTAACTGAGAGATCTCTGCCCCCTCCTGTGAAGCCTCCCTTCCCAGCTGAGAGATCCCCGCCCCGCTCCTGCTTGCACGCAAGTAGGAGTTGGGAGGCTGCTCCAATAGGCCCTTCACAGCTTAGTTTCTGGGGTCAGGGAAGGTGGAGGCAGCCCAGAAGCTGCATCTTAGAGCCCCTGCACCACCATCATACGGGGACTTCCGAGGCGCTCCTGAAGCCAGCCAGAGCCAACTGCTCCGGTCTGCTGCAACGGCCACTGCTGCGTTTCCAGGGACATTCCGGGTATGGAATTTGTCCGGGGACTTATTCACGAATCCGGGGACGGTCCCCGGGAAATGGGGCCGTCTGGTAACCCTACAATATACTCCACTTTATCACGTCTACAATTCCAGTGAAGTGGGGGGCAGGGGCATTGTCCGAAGGCCCGTTTTGGGGTTTTAAATCCATGATAAAAAGTATCCTCTTTGGGAAAAATAGGCAGAAGAGATTTTATTTCATAGGATAAAGCTTGCTGCTTCTGAAAACTAGTCAGGTAACAACCAAGGTTTCAGGCTGTTGAAAGAGGTGATCAGATGGATCAACCTCAAACACATCTCCCTTAAAATCCCGGTGCAGAATTATCGGATTGTGCATTCAAAAATTTACATGGTTGCTTCCCACAAATGTAGCAAGTGCATACTCTATGCGTGGAATCATCCATCATAGTGCTGTCTCTCATTCTGCCAGTACAAGGATTTCTCCTTGTATAATGGAAGTGTCCCCCCCCCATCTCCTTATCATTTGTTCTAGGGGTTCCACCAACCCCGTGGAACAGATTTGGGTAGGTTGCAGGGCATGTTGGGGGCGGGGAGAAGAGGGGGGTCCCATTTTGCAAATGGAAATCAGTGTGCTGACACGGGACACAATAGTTGAATACTCCTTTTTGGGTTGTATCCAATGGTAGTTCCACTAGGAGCAGATCCTTTGAAAATAATGGACATTACTAACCTAGATCTATGAATTTCAGTGGGTATACTCTGGGTATAACATAGTTGGATACAACTCTATCTGCTGTGCATAGTTGCAGAGTTTCTCATAATATGAAAATGCAATTATGTTCTTTTTAAACAGCATGTATGAAGCACAAAGGGTTGTATGAAGATTCTTTGTCAATAGAGCCAAGCATGCTCCAGTATCTCCTGTGCAAGAACTGTTACTAAGAAGTTGTACCACAATACAAAAGCGAGACCGCCTCCTGGCATTCCCATCATCGGTTGCACCCACTGCCCCTAGATGCCCCTAGATAGTCCTCCTAATATTTGACAATTAACAACTTAATGGATGCACCAGCACCAGCAGTTCTCAGGGAATGTCAACATGACTGCTGAGTTGAGACCACCACAAAAGCTCCCTTTTCACCCAATTTTTGTGTTGCTGATTTCTCAAACTGAGCTTATCTGCAAATAATAGGACATTCCAAATCTGTTTCCCTAGACACCAATCCGCAAGAAAACATCTCCAGCCAAATTATTCAGCTGTAGTTTAGAACTTCTTTGGCAAGACTTCTTTTTAATGAGCAATGTGCTATCTTTATGGAACAGACCCAAAGAACACAATAACATACACAAAAAGCTAAGATCTTTTTCTTTCTGTCTTTTTGCTAAGGTGGAGGCTGAGTACTTCTGTCAGTGCTCCCTCCCCTAAGTTATATCTGAATCCTTGAAAATATTTTCCCAGGGTCATAACCACATGCAGGGAACTTGGGTGTGCTTTATCCCTTTGCTCCACCTATTCATCTTCGAAAGGATGCTGGAGCTCAAATGTTGATGTGTCACCGCTACTAACAGGTGAGGAAAGGGGCTGGGGCACAACGCAGCTGGGGCACAATATCATAACCATTAAAAACAGACGCATTTATTTATAAATTAACTTTATTATATACCCAGCGTACAAGAAATATATTAAAAGATACCCTTCGTTGAAAAATCCAACGCTATTGTCTCAAAAGCAAACCATAATTCTGAGGAAAAGTTTGATTTTTTTTCAAAACGAATAAAATACTTTTATTTTTCTCTTTTTCCCCAAGTATCTTTTGATATTTATATATTAAGCTCTGCAAATCTCTATATAATATAGATTGGATGCTATAAAATACAGTTCTCTGTTCTTATATAATTTGCATTCAGTAGTTGCACGCACCCATACAATACAAAGAATGGGCTCCCTGCTTATTTATTGTGCTCACCTTCTGAGATCCTCTGCCAAGGACATAAACAAGATGGCCTGCATTTGAGTTCTGCAATACCAGTCATACTTATATCCCCTACTAGCATTAATAGTGAAAAATGTTGCCCAGTGTTCCGTACAGAGAAAGAACAATGGCTTTCTTCTGCTAACAGTGTTCCACTCTTACAGATCACATACACCTAGCCATATTGATTCAGTTCATTGCATTCCATATCCTGCAAATATAAATCTACTGATGGACAGCTGGCATTATTGCTCATTGAAGTTTTAGTAATATATTTCTTTAATGCAAGACAGAAATATGCTGAAACTCGATAACCCTTAACTACAGCAGAGATCTGAAAAGCAAAATGCATGTAGGCTCCACATTTTTACAAATGTTGCATATTAGAGATTTATGGCAGAAAATGTGATAGGAGAAAACTCACTTCTCTTCCAACAAAGGCAAGGAATAAGAACAGCCCTTTGGGAGACGGAAATAAGCAAAAGAATGACATGAAGCATAGAAAGTTCTCTGCCATTGTAAAGGAAGGACTGCACAAACTGGGAAGTACATAATTGCATACATGAACAGTGATGCTAACAGGAGTAATTGTTCTCTTATGCATATGGTTGCATTCTGAAGTTCTACATCTGTCTATTCTTCAATTATATTAGCAAACAAGTTTTTTTTCTCGCTTTTGAGCTATAAGGCTATAAAGGTAGTAATTTCAACCTATTGTACAGGGCTTCGGTGTTAGATATGTCAGGTAGTATGTTTGCTATTGATATTGAAATTGAATATTCTACAACAAAACAGTACAGTACTTTATCGGGTTTAGAAAATGCAGCTATTCTCTGCTTCAACCATATATATATATATGCACACACACTACCTATAGACAGTTTTCTTGCAGTGTAAAAAAGGAAGTTTCAGCACGAAGTAGATGGTCATATCCTTAGAAGGCTTAAAAATGTCTAATCTGATCTCACTAAAGGCCTTGGGACAAGTTTCCACTTAAAACTCTTCAGTCTTCGTGGACATGTCTACTTCTTGCTGCATTTCTTAATGTTTTGGTTGTCGGCTTTGTGCATTTCCTGTACATACATGTGCTCAGAAAATAAGACTGAGCACACATACAAGCTGGAAAATAGTAAGGTTGTTCTTCAAGCAGCACACTGCTGTAAATTTGCACATGAGAAGGCACAGCCACTTGGTGCTTATAATTGCACATTGAAACTGCTTGAAAGAAAGAGAACTGCATCCCTTCTAATGCCTGTCCAAACATTGTAAGGGGGAATTGTAGGGAAGTTTGTACCTCTTCAATGAGGTATTCACTTTCCCAGGACAAAACCTGAAAGCGGAGCAGTAATTAGCAACATTACTGCATGCTCCAAGGCGCGACCCACAAAACAACTAGTCCATGCTACACTGTGAATCCTCTTTGGCTCGTTGATGTTTTGTTTTTGCAGGACCCTCATTAGGGGCATAGTAAAACAAGTGACCTACTATTCGCTTTCACCCACTTCTGGCTGGTAGACCAGGCCTGTAAAAGTGCTGGTAGCTACTGGTTAAAACAAACAGGTTTCCATCCACATTCATTTAAATACTCATCGCAACTTGAAGGAACAGACTCAGGGGCAAAGGCCTGCTATCCACTCCAGCTGGCCCTATCACAGCAAAAGGATGGGCTGGATATGACCCACCGCTCTTTAACTAACACACACTTCCATCATGGAGGTTGGGTGATGTGTCAAATGGAAAGATGGTCGAGGACAAATGTCATGTAAATCAGAACAAAATCACTGAAGTAATGAGATAGTAGGAGACTGCTGTATATACAGTACAGTTCTGCAATGAATGAACTACAGCCTTCTCCCTCAGAAAGAAGGAGGGATATTATTCAAACCTATTTTAACAAAGCACTAAGTGGAGATTAATAACCCATAGTGCTAAATACCCTTTTATTATGAGGTTCCCCACTGCATGTAAGTTGACAATTATTTAAGTGTGATTATATAACAAAAATACATTGGCACACACAAGGCCTCATTTTGATACACAAAAAAACTGATAGTGCAGAATATCCCTAAAAGGTTTTGTGGGTTTTTTTTAACATATAAGGTAGAAGGCAACTTAGAATAACATTATTTAAGAGTCATCTAGGAAAATAAGCTTTGTGAGAAACTATCTTCCTCCTACAGCTCTGTCTTGTCTGGTTGGGCAGAAGTCGCACTAATGCTTCCTTCTCCAGCATGGTTCTTGTCTGCAGACTCAAAAGACAATGAAGCTGAATTTATGCAGTATCGTTTGCCAGATGGACGAGGCCCATCATCAAAAATATGTCCAAGGTGAGCACCACACTGAAATAGAAGAGCATAATTTGTATTCATTAGTAAGTATCAATAAGTATAATGAAAACACTTTTAAAAACAACAACCTGTAATAGTATACGGGCTTCTCTTTGAGAGTCACAGGTATGGGCTTCGTTTTGAAGTTTAAATTTAATCAGGAGGTAAAGCATTTGAGGGTCAACCACTGCCTTTTTTCTAGTTGCTAGTAATGTGAAAATATAAGCTGTCATCCAAGAGAAGTCTGGTTTCTACAAATGGACTTCAGACATGTACAGTTTGATGCCAACATCTAAAAAGAGAATGTGCTTATCATGCAGTCTTAGAGTCACCAAAGCATGTGAAGTACCAATGCTAAGTTGTGGTATCAAAACCTGAACATGCCAAAAGGCAGGTTGAGGCCTGAACAACATATTCTGACTAAACACTCTTGAAAAAAAATATCCAAAATATTTATTATAGCAATACCTTTATTAGGCCAACCAAGTTAACATCTACATGAAACTGCTGAGTGGGGTCATTCAGCGTTTTGGAGTACATTGTCCACAATATGTTGATGACACACAGCTCTGGTTCTCCTTTACATCTGCAGGTGAGGCAGTGGATGTGCTGGACCACTGTTTTGCCTCGGTAATGGATTGGATGAGAGCCAACAAACTGAAGCTCAATCCAAATAAAACTGAGGTGGTCTGCCCATTTTGCATTGTTCAAGTAAATGCATCAGTATTGGTCATAATCTTTTAAAAAAATCAAAGGTGGAAAGATTTTGACGATTGGTGTTTAAGACTGAACATACTGAATTATGTGTTTAATTTTAAATGAATTCACATAATATTGAAGGGTGTGTGTGTGCGTGCATGCATACATGCATGCAAATGTGTTTAATGATTTGAATTTTTCATAATGAAATTATTTAAATAATTTTTAAAAAAAGACTGGCAACTGAAATAAAAGGCGGGTGCAAAAGTGAGCCCAGAAGGCCAGAAAGGAGCAAGTTTGCACGGGCTTTATCTTTTCCTTGTAGCAAAAACTTCTTAACAGCTTTTGAAGTCAGCTCAGGTCATGGAAGAAGAATCAAAAGAATTATGGACACATGCTAGGCAAAAAGAATTTGGCTAATCAAACATGTAACTTTCAGGTTACAAATACTTGTTCATGCTTCTGTGACTCATGTTGGGGGGAAACACCTTGTACATCTCTAAGCAAATTCTTAGAAGAGAATTCCCAGGTGTTGTTATCCGAGTCATTTCCCCTCCAGGGCCTTTGAACTCCAGTAACATGACACTGTGAAGCAAACTTAATATACTGAAGATACCACAGGATGATTCCAGGGCAAACAAGTGATCAATCAGGAATAAAGAAACAAAGCAAGAATCACAACAGAAGGGAATTTCTGGAATGGCAGACAAATAGACATGTATGAAGTGTGGTTTCAGTCTACTACCCCTACATTTCCTTGCAGAAAGTTAATGACCGTAATTTTCTTCTGACACTCCAATGTGAAAGAAGTTGAGCAGCAATTGGATGCCTGACCAATTTAGCTTTCCCTCTAAAAAAAAAAAGTTTTTCCAAATAACTCTTTGCATCAGCCCGCTTCAACTTGATCAACCCGGAAATGCGATGCCTCATAGTACTGGTCAATCTTATATCAATTGTGTTTGTAGCCCACACATAAAAGAATTTTCACACTGGAATTCCACTGAAGGCTCGGTTCATACTTGCTAAAATCTCGTATGCAAAGAGAGGTCTTGTAGTCACAGCTGCGTGGAGGGAGGGAGGGAGGACCAGACCATGCAGCTTCCCAGGGGTGATCACGGAACACAGGACACTACACTACCAAAAAAACCAAAAACCCAACACCCCCCCAATGCACCACTATGTTCAAGAGAAGCTGTGTGGATGGTGCAGTAGGCTGATATATTACAGCTCTCTAAACAGCTGCAACTTTAGGTCTGCACCATGGTGGTGGTTAATTTATATAAAATGGGCTGCAGGGTGCTATTCAACTAAGTTTTAACTCACAGCAGACCCACTGCTATTAATGGAGTTAAGTTAGCCATCTTCTGTCATTTCAATAGGTCTACCTTGAGTAAACCTTAGTTGACTACCATACTGAGAGTTTGCAAAAATTTCAGCCTTTACCATAAGCAGGAAAATAGAGACATTGCAAACTGGACTGACTGCTAGGAGCGATAATTGTGTCGCTGCTCAACTCATACAACCCTAGTGGCATGCTGTAGACATGGGCTGAGTGGATCTGGAACTACAGAGAATTCGGCACATGTATTTCTGTGAATATCTCAATGAGTGTGTAGTGTGCAAGTTGTCCCACACTTACGGTGCCACTGCTAAGCTGCCAGACATGAGCTGAACACTGGTTTGGTAAGACAAGCATATGACTACTGTGCCATATTCTGAATTCAGTTCTCAAACCTCATTGTCTACTATACATGCCAGTTTGGACATGGAAATTAGCTATCTGTCAACTGAGAACTGAGTATTTCACCTCTCAGAGTTCCTGACTATACACACAATAATCCCATTACTATGAGATAAAGAAAGATCTGTGCAGACGGTTGCCAGTGATTTAGTCACAGCACATCAATGTGCAACCCATTTTTTTGTGATTAAACAGTGTTATTGGCTTCTACAGGTACAATGTAATAGCTGCAGAGGTCTCCAAGGGAAATAGCCCTTGAATAGGAAAGGAAGGAAGAATGTGCAACCAATTTCACATTACTCCCTAAGTGCACCTGCAATTAACATTTTCTTGTCACAAATATTTGACTTTTCTCATATTTCCACAGTGATGTATTTCTAACAAAACCGTGAAAGCTGTTTCACAGACAATATTTAGGATGCTTTTGTTTTATAGGAAGGCAATTTTCTTCCAAAGCACTTATTTGTATCCTAAATCAATGACATTCCAAAGGAAGATGTTCACACAGGAGCAAAACAGGTGTTAAAATGTTTATGGGAAGTGTACTTAATTTTTTCATCTGCTGGATTCTGCCCCCCACCCCTAAAAGGGGGAAAAATAAAATAAAAGGATTTTGCTCTCCGCTTTAACCAAGTAAACTCCCAATGCAATTCTGATTTGTAATAAAACAATAGCATTTTGCAGCTGGATGTATGATTCATATTGTTAGACTCATGGAGATGGGAATAAATGACTGAATAATGGATGCATTGTATGGTGTGGTAATGACTATGGGGAGGACACAAGCTACACATACTGGTATACTGGTATGCTGCTTTTATTCACTGGTTGTTGTTTTAATACTGTATTTATTTATTTACTTATTTGTTGTATTTCAAGCCCCCCTCCTCTATTAAAAAAAAAAGTTCTCTGGGTGGCTTACAATAAAAGCTGCAAGCCATATATGCAAATAATATAACAGAACCATAAAACGTAACATAGCATAAAACCAGAAACAGAGAATAAAATAAAAATAGCAAATGCAGACCAGCACCAGAAATTCCAGAGATCTTCAATAAATATATGCTATCACTAAAGGGCTTTTTGTTGTTAAAAGTAACAAAAGTTTTAGTATAATTTACTACTTGATATTATTGTGAGCTGCCTCGGGACTTGTTTGCAGTGAAAGGCAAAATACAAATCCCAGAAACAGGCAAACATCTGATTATAAAGTGACATTAATACAAATACAGTGGTACCTCGGGTTACATACACTTCAGGTTACAGACTCCGTCAACCTAGAAATATGGTGCTTCAGGTTAAGAACAGTTTCAGGTTAAGAACAGACCTCCAGAACACATTAAGTACTTAACCTGAGGTACCACTCTATGATTAAAAGTTTACCTGTTTAAGTGCAGTATACCACTGAATACAAATACAACTATGGCTTTGATCTCAGATAACATTTCAATCTAGATATAGCTGGGCGCTAACCTATTGAACACTGTTTTGCAGCAGACTGAAAGTTCTTCCCTAAAAAAACCCTCCTGGAAAGAGTAATTGAAAGTGGCCACACAATACGTTGGCCCCTTGCTTATTCAGAGAGCTTATTTATACCAGTTTTCTTCCAGATTCCCAGTTGGTCTAAAGCAAACAAAGCAGGAGATCAGGCTTTAAGTTCTGATTAAAATTGGTGCATTCTCGGTGGAAGAAACTAGCTGCAGGTTAGCCAAGCGTTTCCTCCACTAACTGCCAGGTCAACAACCCTTCTCCCCTGATAAGTTAGTTAGGACTGAGCCATTAAGGCCACAGAAGGCTGGTGATGACAAAGAATGAAAGGAGTCGGAATGAGAAAGATAATGGGAAACTGACAAGTGTCTGGTATTATTATTCACTTGCTTATTTGGGCAGATGGGACGTAGAGGTGGCCGGAAAGATACCCTGAGCATTGTCACTAGTGATCCTCAGCAAATGCTCTGTGATGGAATCTGCAGATATAGAGTCAATTCAATGTTCGTCTAGACTATCTGCATTTAGGCTTAAGAGAACAGAGTTCAGAGGTGAACTTTGAAGAGATGCCTTCCTGGAAGACCATTTCTGTAGGCTACAACCCTCTGATGTCATTTATACATGCTCTGTTAAATAATGCTTAAACTAGATAACAATAGAGATTCTCATTAGCACTTTGACTTTCGTTTTTATCCACCAGCTGTCATGCCTGTGGCTTATCATGCAACCCTAATGAGTCTTTTTGGCAACTAAGAATTTTGCAGAACTTCAGCTGTAAAGAAACTACACACACTACGGTTTCGGCAACCTTTTAATATGAGAATGACCTCTTTGTGTCTGAACTGACCTGACTGCAGCTTGTCTCAACCCTGTGCATCCCGTAGGAGTAGTCATCAGTGAATGTAATTCTGTCAGAAGCCATCACATCATAGAATGAAGGCCAACCTGGAAAAAAACAAAAGGATGAACAATAGCAGCAGCAACCTGTGATAAGTTCTGCATCAGATAGGATTTTGAAAGTTTCAGTCACAAATAGGATTGTCAGTGATCTAACAAGCTCTAGATGATAACGTCTGTTGGCTGGCAAGGTAAAGCAGCAAGCTTCCAAATTGCAAATATACTCTTCTTTTTTGCCTACAGAATCCTATGCAACCTGAAAATGTGCAAATCTACAATCGTGTACTAATACACTTTGTCCAATAGAACAATTTTATGCAAGAAATTTTGAATTTCTTGAAAAGTGTACACCTAAAATAGGAAGTTAACAGGTCCCTTTATCATGGAGCTAAATTAATAAGTTGCAAGCAAATTCTAGAAGGGCATAATTTTCCTTGGTTTGTTTGTTTGTTGAAAGACCTCTTCCACTTTTAAAAGCAGTGGGTGATAGTAAGGTGTACCATTCTGCCATTTTCTTTCTGGTATGAAAATGTGTAAGACCAGCAGTACTCTGATACAAGAGCCAAGTAGGAACACTTGGCTCTTGTATCACAGAATCTCTACAACCATCTCCACCTACTGCTATTAATGCTTTGAAACAGGACTGGGGACCTTCTGCCTTCCAGATGTTGTTGGATTACAGTTCTTATCATCCCTGGCTATTGGTCATGATGCCTGGTCCTGATGGGAATTGGAGTTCAACAAGACACGAAGGGCTACTGTTTTCCCATCCCTACGATAAAAGCAACTCCTTGTCAATAAGAACACTGAGGAGAACAAATTTAATTTGAGCAGATCATAGTTGTACTAAGCAAAGACCTACTATTTCCAAATAGTCGCAGGATATAAAGTTCATTCGAGGTCCAATGAATCAGATGAAGAATTGATCTAGTGCAGTTTCCAACTGGTACTTCCAAGCAGAGTGGGAAGTCAGCAATCCTTCCTTGTTTTCTAAACTAGTTGATTGTTGTCAAGGCAGCAAAGACTGAGGGATCAGCCAGACTTCTGCTTGTCCTCCCACTTTCCCCAGGAAAAAGAACACTATTTACCGCTGAATTGGAGCAAATGTCAATTGGGTTTTCCATAGATTGACGTTTGCTCTGAATCAGCACTAAAGAGCAGCTTTTCCAGGGGAAAGCAGTGGGGGGAGGGCTGAAAACTGCTCAGACCTGTGCCTAGAAAGCACGGGACAAGAGGAAAACCACTTGGACCTGTGCTTTCTAGACAGGGGGAAAGAGGACGTGTGGATCAGCCTTTAGGGTTGTATCCAGCAAGGTTGTCCTATTCACACAAGGACTTTTGCTTGCTCAGTGGATCTTTCTCTCTCTCTCCTCCCCCCATGCTCCCTCAATCGATTCTGGGTTTCTCCTTCTGAAGATTGAGGGGCTGGGGGGCATACAAGGAGAGGAAAGAGGAGTTCCATTGAGGACGTAGAAGGCCTTGGGCAAATGAGATGCCTTTTTTAAAAAAGATATAATCCAATCATTCATATATATATAGATAGATATATAGATATATAGATATATTCACTCAGAGCCTGCAATCATATTACATTAGAAAAATGTTAATCAAAATCTCTTATCCAGTCTCCACTATTTCCTGAAAGCATGCCGCTAATGACTTCATGAAATTATGCCATACAAAAGACAAGGGGGGGGGCTGCTTTCAGAGACAAGTATTTTGCAAGATGTGCTTAATTTTTTAAAATATTTTAAAGCAAAATGGTGCAAAAGTCATCAAAAGATCTCAACATAGGTTGAATACAATCTGTTTCAGATGTAATTGAAACCAAGTTAAAACAAGATGAAAAACTGAAAGAAGAGTGTATTTTTAAAGGACTCATAAAAAAAAACTTGAATAAAGAAACCCACTAAATTAAGTTTCATATCTTCCAGCCACTTCCATGCAGAGTTCTCTAAGACCAAAAAATCTCACTGGGGAGTCAATATAGCCATGTGTAGAAACTAATGGAAAGACTGTGCCTCATTCCTACCCAGCTACGTAAAACTAATTATTTAGGATCATAGCCTAAGAGTATCTACCAATTACATCAGAATGAGAAGAGCAGGGTCATCTGGGCTCTCTGAAGAAGATGCAGACCAAAATGACTGGACAACACAAAACATCTTGAAACATAAACTCTAGCGATTCCTCTATTCCTGCCAAGCCAATGGAAAGGAGCCAGAGAACATAATCTTCCACAAACATTCACATCTTCCAGGAGGATAAAGTATCCCTAATAATTGCTTCTGGTTTGGACCAGTACTTTATTGCTATAAACTGACAACAGCACTTTGGAAGAAGAATGCCTTTATCATTTGGGGAGGAAGACTAGTTCAGTGCTGAAGAAATCCTCAAAGAGAACATCCTTCACCACACAACAAGAGGCAAACTTCAAAGGCTGAAATGAAAAGACTGGAGCAATCTCTGTCTTATGGGAAAAGTTATATTGTTCAAAAGAACTAGAAGATGGATGAGTTTCTTTCCAGTTCTGATACTGATAATCAATTGCTCATCCCCCTTACTTGCAGCCTCTTACTTTTCTCCCCTGCAAAGGCATAAAGAAAATATATATTACCCCATCCACATTATGAACATGAAATCAGCTGGAAAATTGTACTGACCTATCAGAAAATACTCCACTGCAAAAAAAAAATTATTTCATTTTCTATTTCTTATTCAGTTTCTTTGTCAGTAAGGCAACTGCTCTTTCAAGGCATGGACTGCATTATAGCTTGGAAATATAGAATAGTGAATCCATATTGACCATATAAATGTAATCTGTCTCACTGTGAATCTACTTTCCAGTACATTTAGTGAGGAAGGCACTAATATGCAAAGTCAGTCCAGCAGTCCAGCAGGTTAATCAATGTTTGTTTTATGGCAACAAACCACGATGTTTGTTGTTGTCTTATGAACCACAGCTTTTTTAAAAACTACGGTTTGGCGTTATGTCCAAACCCAACAGCCTTGCTTAACAATGGTTTGTTTTACCACCTGGCCACAACTGTTTGTCAGGCTACAAAAACACAAGTCAAGAGTAGCTAGAAAACAAAATAAGCTTTGGGAGAAACAAACCATGGCTTGCTTGCCTGCTCATCTGTGAGATGACTCATGGTTTGCTGAAGAAACGGCTGGATAAGTGGAACAAGTCATTAAGTGAATATGACCTAACACAAGTGAGAGAACATAACTGTTGCCTCCTCCATGGGATCCTCAAAGACCTTCATTACTTTTTGTATAGCTTTTTAAAAAACCACGGCAACAAAATGGGATGGAACTGTCTGGCATCAAACAGAAAAAGGTGATCCATCAGTCCCTGTCCTCTTTGCTGGCTCCTCAAAGGTATTTGGTTGATCACTGCAGGAAATAGGATGGTGGGCTAGAGACGCCTTTGCTCTGATCTAACAAGGTTCTTAATCTCTCCAGCAACAGCACTGTCAATGGCTACCACTGGAAAATATGCTGCAAAGCAATCGCCTTGAGAGGTTTCAGACTAAGAACATGAAGGTAGTTTATGTCTGGAGATGAATTGACAACACTGGAAGCAGCACAAGGAGGTAAAATTGGGAATTGTACTTGTGGGGAGTGGGGGCAACCTGCATAAATTTTAGCTACATTTCTGAATCTCAAACTTTATGAGGAAATCCCATTTCTCTCTTTCTCTTTCTCTCTCCTTTCAATAATAAGGAAATAAAAACTGTAGGGATTATATTTCTTTCTTCACTTCCCTTTCTGATGAATGTGCTAAGAGATCTAACAAAAATAGTTTGTCAGGATTCATTTCTTTGGCTCAGTTCTCAGTAGGATAACACTTGTTTTAAAAGGGACTTAAAAATGCAAGATTTTACATGTGGTTTGCTCAGAAAAGTGAGATTGACAAGAGCAATTTAGACACTCTTGGGGAATGAAAATATACTCTGATTCTTCTCAGAGATTAAACACATCAATACATACAATACCACACAATTATAATATATTTAATAAACTCTACCAGCATCTGCCAGTCTTCAAAATGTATCAGAATTGGTGACAGTAAAATTATGTTCACCCCAATATATTAACTTCTATTTATTATACAAATGCACTAATCCTGTTATTATTTTACAATAATGTAACATGCAAAACGGGCCTTGTGGCATCAACATTTCCAGACGTTCTATGAATGAGATGGGTTTTTCTTGACTACAGTGGTACCTCAGGTTACATACGCTTCAGGTTACATACGCTTCAGGTTACAGACTCCGCTAACCCAGAAATATTACCTCGGGTTAAAAACTTTGCTTCAGGGTGAGAACAGAAATCGTGCTCCGGCGGCGCAGAGGCAGCAGGAGGCCCCATTAGCTAAAGTGGTGCTTCAGGTTAAGAACAGTTTCAGGTTAAGAACAGACCTCCAGAACAAATTAAGTACTTAACCTGAGGTACCACTCTATCTTGCCAGTGAAGTTTCTACCATTAATTACATACTTTACAGCTTAGGGTGAACCCGCTTCATTTCAGCGAAAGCATTATATTCGCTTCGTCCACTTCTGTTTGATCTCTTGTGTTACTTTAAATCACAGGGAAGATTTTTGAAAATAGAACTTAAAATGTAAGTCAGTTGTAGATCATAAATATCAAAGGATCCCAATGACACTGTGTAGAAGTATAACCCTAAGCTGTAATTTTGAAGTGCCATTTAAAAATGTATGAAATAGTTTTTAAAAATTTACTGGTGACCTGATAACCTCAATCCAAAAACATTCAGTGTTGAATAATATTTTTGTTACTATCCCAAAAAGCACTTCAACTGAAAAACAAAACAAAACCTGTCACGCTGCCCATGTTTATTATTTTTTTATGAATTACTCACTAGCTCCAGGATGCTATAAAACTACTGCAGCTTCTATAGTTAATATTGTCCATATTAAAACACCATCTATAGGAACCTCTGCAGATATTTAAGTCTTAGTCTACACTACCCTATCAACACAACACATGTGAAAAATGAAATCCTATCATTTAAATCAAATCAATGACAAACCTAATTTTGTAAGTAAATTTCTCATTCACATAAATGCAACCTTAGATTCTTTTGCATGTTGCCACCACACTGCACAGCCACTAGGTGTATGCAGTAGCCAAAGTCAAGCACTTCTTAGCCATACTGATTCAAAGGTAAAGCATTTAGAATACATGGAATCATCACTTGAAACCCATCTAACTCAAAAAATATAGCTTCTCAAATGCTTTGTTCTTTACTCTCCAACTGTCCGCTAATTTAGCAGAGACAATCATGATTTCCAGTGCCTTTTGTCCCAGAGAACCCTGTGCAATTTTAAAGAAGCAGCTACTTTTCTCTTTGCACTAAGGAATATATAACATGTAGAAGCTATAGAACTTGCTACTTAGAGAAATCACAGGGATATTTGGAAACCGATTGATAAGGAGAAGCCTTGTGGAAATATTTGACTCCTTGTCTGGTGGTAGCTAGGGGGAAGGGGGAAGGGGCTGAGTTTGGGGTATACTCTGTGTTAGTTGGGTCCTAGGACATATTTTCAGTGGTACCTCGGGTTAAGTACTTAATTTGTTTCAGAGGTCCATTCTTAACCTGAAACTGTTCTTAACCTGAAGCACCACTTTAGCTAATAGGGCCCCCTGCTGCTGCCGCACCGCCGGAGCACGATTTCTGTTCTCATCCTGAAGCAAAGTTCTTAACCCGAGGTACTATTTCTGGGTTAGCGGAGCCTGTAACCTGGAGCGTATGTAACCCGAGGTACCACTGTAATCAGAAGGCAGTCCCAGTGAGTTCCATGGGAATCATTTCAAGCACATGTGCACACCTTTGCAACCTCAAATTGAATTCTAAGCATCAGAGACAGAAACATGCAAACTGAGCAAGAACAGTTACCCCAACGAATTCTTAAGTGTGGTGATGAGAGATGATAAAGAAACAAAAGTAGTGAGTGTCTATACTATGGACAATGTTGCCTGCTAATCATACCACCACCAACACCCTTAATAACAATTAACCAACAATTAAGTGTTGCCATACAGTGGTACCTCGGGTTACAGACGCTTCAGGTTACAGACTCCGCTAACCCAGAAATAGTACCTCGGGTTAAGAACTTTGCTTCAGGATGAGAACAGAAATAGCACGGCGGCAGCGCAGTGGCAGCGGGAGGCGCCATTAACTAAAGTGGTGCTTCAGGTTAAGAACAGTTTCATGTTAAGAACGGACACCCAGAACGAATTAAGTTCTTAACCCGAGGTACCACTGTATTTCAAAAGGTTAAAATGGCCATGCGCCTGTATTTTCCCAGACATTTAAGTGACTTCCGCCTGGACACTGTTTCCGACGACCAAATCCCGGCTATGTCCAGGAAATTCCTGTCATATGGCAACCCTAGCGTTGTCTGTTTTTGTTTAACAGTTCAGCAAATGTGGTTGCCAAAAATTAACAAGGGAGAATAGTAGATGATGACATCTGTAGTCAAGACTGATTATGGAAGTCAACCACATTAATTAGAAATTAAGAAAATGAGTCATTGCTACTTGCAATACAGAAGATGGCTATCATGAGGGGACTAAGAAAAGGCCACCTCACATGATAATAGTGTAAAAAATAATGGATAAATTTTCTGCACTAATTATTCAAGAAGATTCTATAACTTTATCTATGGCAGTTGGATTACTTCTAGAGGTCAAAGCAAGGAGGAACATTTCTTTCCCCAGTTTCCTTTCCGTTGTCAAACATGAAACATCATGAAGCTTTTTAAAATCTTATCCATTTTTCTGTTCTTACCCTGAAGGAGTGAAGAAAATGAAAATGTACAGAATAGTTTCTACAGAGTTATGTACTAATGGCCCCAGTATCACATCAGAGAAGGGATTCCAAAAGTGAGTTATCACATACAATGCTAGTTACTCATTCCCATGATGGACCTGTTCAAATAAACAACTTGTATTCACATGAAGGGCTTAGCAGAATTTAGGTAAAGGAGCAATTTATGTAGCATAATCTGGAAGCTTTAGAAAAATCTCAAAATAGCGAGCATGGAGCTGCTTCCATCTGGTGGCAACTGCCTACATTTTTAAACGAAAGCTAGCAAGCATGCTATAAAAAGACTGATGTTCATTGTCTATGTTCCTGTCTCCACCTGCTGATAGGGAAAGAAAATCAATTTATCCAGGGCAATGTAGGTTTTTAAAGATAGATCACCACTAAACTGCAGCTTCAAGAAACGGAACATTCTGTTGCAACTGAAGTTGTTTAAACTGCTTTTAGTTCAGCTGATTTTTTTTAACATTAACCATGAAAAATAAGAAATTAACACTAGACTTGTATGTAATGCCATTCCCAGATTCAAACATTTCAGTTTGTATCTGATTCAAGTAACATTAGTCTCTTATAAGAGGCTACTCAAAGAGGAATCTGTAAAAAAGTGTAAACAGGAGAATGAAAATTCCATATGGATTTTTTTAAAAAAACCCAACACATTTAACCTTCCTTTTGTTCTGAAAGCAGATCCATCAAAGCCGTATAAAATAACTGTTTAAATACGCACACATATACACATAAAAGATAGGCAGTATCGATCAAAAACAAATAGAATGTGTAGCAGCCGCATGCACAAAATACAGTGCTCATGATATAGTAAGCCACCCCAAACAACACAGCTTTCACTGTTTTCTTTTTTCAGAGGGACTTGCTCAGGGATGAAGCAGCCACCACAAGGATACTCTGATCCTTATTACCACTACCTGTGGCTAAGTCTAGATTTGCAGTGGAAGAATGGCATGTACCAAGGCGGCAGATACACCCCTTGATGCTGTTCCACATAGGAAACTCCCTACAATTGAAGAATAGCTCATGAGGGAGAAAGATTATAGCCTAATATTTTGATTGCCATGCTAGCTTTCTACTTGAGGGGATTCTTTAATATAGAGGAGCTCTAAAAAGAAATGTGAACTTCTATCTGCCATCTGAAACAACGCAGCCCGATGAATCACCTTGCAGCGTGCACCACTATATTTTGCTGCATGTATGTATAAAGGTAAAGGGACCCCTGACCACTAGGTCCAGTTGTGGCCGACTCTGGAGTTGCGACGCTCACCTCGCTTTATTGGCCGAGGGAGCCGGCGTACAGCTTCTGGGTCATGTGGCCAGCATGACTAAGCCACTTCTGGCGAACCAGAGAAGCATGGAAACACCATTTACCTTCCCGCCAGAGCGGTACCTATTTATCTACTTGCACTTTGACGTGCTTTCGAACTGCTAGTTTGGCAGGAGCAGGGACTGAGAAATGGGAGCTCACCCTGTCATGGGGATACAAACCGCCGACCTTCTAATAGGTAAGTCCTAGACTCTGCGGTTTAACCCACAGCGCCACCCGTGTCCCACATGTATGTATACACCAGCCCCAAACCTCTGATGAATTAGGGCCCCGTGAAATGATCTTATTGTATGAAGGATTTACATGGGAGAAGTTGTTCCCTAAAGCTCTCTGGCCCCAGATGACTTAGATTTTTCCTGCAAATATCTACTGAGAATGCAAGTATGTACAACATGGAAGGTTTCAGTCCAGGGGCAGCTGGATCTGGCCCAGCAAGCTGCAGGAAGTGGCCTGCCAGCACCTACAGCTTTATCTCCTAATTTGATCAGGAGATAAAATTCCTTTGCTTGTAAAAAAACAAAAACCAGTAGGAGAGACATTTCAAGATCAGAGATAACACAGTCTGCCTGCTCTTTAAGAGTAAAAAGCAGCCTTTCATCCAAGTATTGGAATGGGAGTAGGGGGAAAGGCTACCTTTTACTTTGCACAAAATGATCTGTGTGAAACAGGGGTGTGAAAGTGGGTCTAGCTGGCCGGCAGAAGGGATCCTTATCTCCCAAACAGGTCAGGTTTGACAGGTGGGCGGGCCACACAACTGTCAGTCACCTGACATCACAATGATATATAGCGCTCTGCAAGCCTGGACAATCAGCTGACTGCCAGCATTTGCACTGGGTTATGTATTAGTGGCCTCCAGGCTTCTGAACAGAATAAAACAACTGATCACCAGTATACCATCAGTCAGGATATCATCTCTGTGACAGAAAATGGCTGCAACGACATGCTTCATACAACCCATTTTGTATCTCCTACTCATGCAGGTGTGAAGTGTGGTAATTGTGTGTTAGTAACTTGAACAGTATGGTTGGTTGCAAGGTCTGTGAGCTTTGTTATTTTTCTTACAAGTAATTTGCAAGTCATGATTATTGCACTGTTATAGTTATGTAACTGTTATGTTATATGTATGTTAAGGGTATAATATGTTTCTGATAACCCATGGGATCACACCCTGTTCTTGTAGGTGAGATACAGTTGACCCAATGATTTTCCCCCTTTTGTTTTGCTGGAAAAGAACATTTTTCAGCAAAGGCATACTATCATTCTTGCATATGGTATCATGCTTAATATCTTCTCTCAGTTATTTTATTTTTATGGCTTTCTTGGGGTATATTTGAGCCCCAAACCAGATTGATACAGTAAATTTTTCTATCGGCACTTTCAACAGAGGGTTAAAAGTACATCTGGAAATATTGTTACCTGTAGCATGATCATCTCAAACTCAAGGATGTTCAAATATATCACACAACTGATAAGTAATAACAGCTAAGTGCAGTCACCTTATACAACCGGAGATATACATCCATGAAAAATTCCTTGCATAAGCCAGCCTTGCTCACATTACAATCACTCCATACATTTCCGGAACTCACATGTCAAGATGTATCATCCTCAAATCACTCAGCCTTGCAAAGAAAAACACACTAAAATTCTGGTATTCCGACCTATCTGAATTTTATCTGCTTCCCCCCTCCCTGAAAAATGTCATGAAAGAGAAAAAGAGTGTGCATAATGGGCATAAAAGCATTCTTCACCAATTGCTAAATGGGCCAATATAGTTGTAACTTTAGCTTTCTCTTATATAACAAGTGAGTGATGGAAACCTGATGGGACAAGCCTGGAAGCCACATACTAATAGTAAATGACTTTGGTTCATTCAAAGAATTAAACTAAAATATGCACATCTAGCTTCTGGGAAACACGCTAAGCAGCCAAGTGAAGATGTTATTGAAAGGAAGAGGTTAAAAAGATTAAGAAAATATCTGAATAAAACCACCATGGGAGAGGCACCAAAAGGGATCAATTTTCTTGAGAAACGGGAGTAAATCTGTGACCTGGCTCCCCAGGTATTACAAGAAAACTTCAGAAACTGCTTCAACAAACCCAGCTAAAACTACAAAGACATGAAATTCCTTTCTTACACAAGAAATTCTTTAGGGAATAAAAGAGTTGTATGACTCAGGAGATGAAAATCTCCATGAATACTCAACTAATCTAATGAGCTATTGTCGCTAGGAAAGGAGGTTGATGAATTTAGTGCAGGGGAGCAAGAATTGAAATACAGCAGGAAATCAGACCAACCTGAGCCAGTTTTCATTGGCCTTTATCTCTTTCACAAGGAAACTTCCACCCTTGGTAGCTTTTCGATTCAGGGAGTTTATTTGTGATGGTGGTAAAACTGGTAGGATAACTGAAATATAGGGAAGATGTCCTGGGTCCAATTAAGTATAAATTATTGTTTTCATTGCTTCCCTTTCTGTCTTACCCTTCATCAGTTCACGATCCCAGGCTGGGCTACAACACAAAATATAATAACTGTAAATTCCAACTGCCAATAAAATGTGACAACTAAGAGTAGAATCCAAACCATATCTACTTAGAAGTAAATCCAATTGAATTCAATGAGATTTATTCCCAGGTAAATGGGATTAGGATTACAGCCTAAAACAGTGCCAAGACTGCCTCATTGATCCATGCACAGAAAAAGATCATACAAATGGTGGAATCAGACAACCTGGGAGCCATGCAGTAGCTGCTGCATAGCACCTGTGCGATAAACAGAATGATGCAATTATTTGCAATAATGAAAGAGGAAGTTAGCACTCGCACGCTTGCTCAGAAATCCAGGAGAGCAGAAGCCATGTAATCAAAGGTTAGAAGTATCATGTCATAGGCTTTTCTTTGGCTACTGTATGGCTTCTGAAGCCAATGCAAAATTAATCCCAAACTGCTGACACACAAAAAGACAAGGACACTTAAGCAGTGTACGAATGTGATAGAAATATGCTTCTATATCATCTAGAAATGTGCTTGCTTTCTAATCCCCTCACAAAACTTTGGATATTTAAACTGTGAGTTTCCATATGGTCTTCTGAATCTTAATTAATTTGATGGTGGATCTCAGATTAGAAACTCAGGACCAACTGTATGAGACGCTAGAAACCCATAAGTGGATTTTTCTTTCTTTTAAACTTTCTTTAAGAAGTTGTCATGGGATCCCCAAAGTTATAGAATTGTAGAGTTGCAAGGTACACCAAGGGTCACCGAGTCCAACTCCCTGGAATGGAGAAATCACAGTGACAGAATCCCTGACAGATGGCTATGCAACCACTGCTTAAAAAAGGAGAGCGTCACCTTCTGAGGGAGTCTGCTCCACTGTCAAATGGCTCTTGCCACCAGAAAGTTCTTCCCAGTGTTTAGCAGGAATCCCCTTCCTTGTAATGTGAATCTGTTGGTCCACATCCTCCCCTCCGGATCAGCAGGGCAATGCTGCTAAGGGCAGAGTCAAAAGTATTTTCTCCTGTACTGTTTTCCACAATGTACTGGGCCAAATTCAGATCAGGAAAATGGGATAGGGGAAAAAAAAACACCTGGTGCCATGGTGTTGCTTCGAGGGCTACTTTTAAAATAAATTTAAAGAGCTGTGAAACAAGGATCCTCAAAATCACATCTAGCTTTATTCACCTGGAATAATTTAAAACACCATCATTTATAAAACTGTCTCTAGACTTTTCCTTAGTAAAATTTAGCTCTCACTGTAGTAGTAAACCTATGTGTCTGCTGGACTACTTCTGACTACAGTCAGGGTGAGGGTTTACATGATTCTCAGAAAACAAAAATGCTGGATGTTAAGGAGTGTCCTAGCCTGCCAAGACTGGGAAGAGTTGGCAGGAAGCAGTCCAACAGAACCGTCTGGAGCAGAAATGAAAAGCAGGCAAAAAAACAGCCAGGGTCTACATGTCGAGATTAATAATCCTTAAACTGAAAGGAAAGGAAAATCTGCAGCGAGTCCTTCAGTACTCTGGACAGATCACACAGAGCACATGACTAGTTCCAACATGTTCTTAGCTTCAAGGGACCTGACTACCCCCTCCCAGGCTCTGCCCCCTTCCTGAAGACTGAAGAGCTTTAGAAGAGGACTCAAAACCCCTCTTTCAACTCCTGCCTGGTGCATTTCATATGCTGGCAAGCAAGCACTAGAGAAAATGAGACCCTTGGCATTGCACCAGGAGAATCTGGCTCAAAGTGAACTGTCCCTAGGTCTTTCAGCTCAAAGGTTTCTGGCTGAAAGGGCTCCTGACCATCGAGGTAAGTTTTTATGCAGCAGCATTTGGCTATATGAGTCCCCACCTGCTGCCTCAAGTGGGAGACCCCATGAATAGGTTTACTACCTGAATGAGAATCAGGTTATACTGAGCATAGAACTGAAGTCCAGCCATAGTAGGCTGACATTCTGAGCATAATTACCTGGAAATGGATTCCAATGAAATCAGTGTGAATTGCTTGCAAATAAATGTGTTAAGGGCGGAGGTGCTAGATTGTTACTTTGCTTCCGACACTGTGGTTTAGTTCTGGACTCTCCTTAAAACAGTAATGTTTAGATTAAATAGACATGAGAATGTGTGATGTATAGTTAACTGTCAGAAATGTTGTGAATATCAGCAGCTGGAAGAAGACTGTTTAATTCAAACCACAGTTAAACACATCACAGTTACTAAAAGGTCTTTAGATTTCACCCATCAGCGTCCATTATCTTCACTTCCTTTACTCATTAAATAAGGTTTTCCAATATAAAGAAACAACATACAAGGTGAGACAGGATCAGACCTGTGTGCAGAATCCAGAAGTCCAGCTGCAGAGCTCTAGTGCCTTTGTAATGTTTGTATTATTTACAAATAAGGAAGCGGATCATAGGTAAAGATAAATAGGTATCCTTAAAAGGCAAAAGATGCACCAGAGACCAGTGCTCCCCACCCCCAATTACAACCACACACACACACACACACACACACACACACTTTTAGAGGAATCTCCAATTAGAACTGATGTTCGGTTCAGTTTTTGGTGTTCTCAATTTTTGTATTTTGCTCACAACCTCAGTTTACTTACTCTGTACCCACTTGCAAGGGCTCCAAAGGAAATTGTGATTTGTTAGTGTTCAAGTTTCTCCTTTATAAGCCTTCACCCTAGAGAACTCTGTCCTACAAGGGACTCAGAAGGAACTAAGTGGCCTGGCCCCAGTACCATCTCTTGAGCATCTCCATGCCAGCCCCATGTAACCATCTTCTAAACTTTTGTCTTTGTTCACATGCTCACAAAGTTGGTGCCCATCTTTCAAGATTCTCTTCTTGGGCTTCAGTTCTTTTTCACACTTGTTTCCACTATGGGAAACGGTTTCATTTCTTAGGCACAAGCTCCTCTACGAACAAAAAAGGAGTGATGCATTTCCATCCCTTGAAAAACTCAAGCATACCAAAAGGTTTGCACATGCCCCTGATGTAATTGTCCATAAATGCCAGGTGCACTCAGTAGGATCCCCTCTATAAAACTACTGAAGAGGTAACACACAGTCCACATCTCCGCAGGGGAGAGGGTGAGGAGCCATCAAGACAATCTGTTTCAGGGGAAATGCCTGATTTCCAAACACCAGCAAGGCAAAGTTCTCACAGAAGGCCTTCAAAACACCTTGCAAGCCTGTCCAGATGCGAGAATCAAAACAGGCCTTGAAGATTCAAATTTCCACACCTTATGCCACACATCCCTATTGTCTAAAAATACATGAAAGGACTGGGGACCTCAAGAAACCTATCAATCCATGCCACATTTTTGTTTAAAGGTAGATCCCCATCTGCATCCCAGAACTGACATTATTAGTTTTAACAATAAAGAGATGGTTGGGATATTATATTGTTAATTTTCTCCATGTATTCCACCCTGAGATCTCAGATCTCAGAACAAGATGCTGCTTTTTCATAAAAAGGTCTGGAGATTAATTTTGCAGTCACACAAGAGAGTATAAAAAAGCACCCATTGTGAAGCAGGAAGGTTGTAGCCAGTGTGATCAATGTGTCTGAGAGTAAGCCTCGCTGGACACAATAGGGCTAAGTAGTCATGTCTGGGATTCAGACAAAAGGTTTCAGGTACAGAAAAATGCAAAGGATAACAAGAGATATGTCATATTTCTATGTAGAGCCCAAACATCTACAAGTTAAGAACAGAGTGATCTATTCACAACAATATTATGGAAACAGTCCCAAGCACTGCTGTTGTGGATGGGTCACTCTGTTCTTATCTTGCATAAAAATACACTCTGCACAGAAATACCACAAGCCTATTTCAATGCTGTATAGTTCCTGGCCTTTGCACCTGTATGTAGGTTAACTCCAAGTGGACTCCAGTTCAAAAGCATTTATGCCACAACAAAAATGCAGTCCTATGGACACTTACTTTGCAGTAAGTCCCAATGAACCCATTTGAGCATATTTCTGCATATATCATGGAAGAACCCTCGGTCAAACCACTGGCACCTCTTAGACTGTGTAATTGAGCTGAAGATTGCCATAATGTGCTCCTTACCAGAGCTATGACGAGTGCCAACGACTGCTGGACAGATCACCAATTAATACGTACCACAGTGGCTATCAAGATTATACCTCAACGCAGGCTTCAAGGGAGGAAACCAAGGCGCAAAATGAACACTCAAGCCCTTCAAATTCTATTAAGCAGGATTGCCTCCAAATGACTCGTAAGGACCACCTGCTTTTGGAGTTCCCTGATAACATCAAGGAACACTGGACCAAGCTATAAACATCCATTACTGCAGCCTGTGAACAAACTAATGGATACCAAACCAAGAAACACTAGAACTGATTTGATGAGATTCAACAGTGAGATTGAATGCATTACTGACAAGAAAAGGAAGGCCTTTCAGATCTGGCAAAGAAATAGAAACTGCACCACTAAGACAAAAACCTATGCCAACGCTAAGTCTGAGGTTCAAAGAAGAACCAGAGAACTAAAGAACACCTGGTGGATTTAAAAAAAAAAAAAGTTCAAGAGATTCAGTAGTTAGCCGACACTCATGATGCACAGAGTTTCTTTAAAGCCACAAAGACCATCTATGGGCCAATAAATCATGGCATATGCCCCCTACACTCAACAGATGGTACTACACTTCTAAAAAGATAAAGAAGCTATTGCATTGAACTGGAAGGAACATTACCAGCATCTCCTTAACCGCAACTGCCCCGTAGCTGCCAAGGTCCTCTCACAAATTCCACAAAAACAAATTAGAGATGAGCTTGCAGTATCTCCAAATCTGGGAGAGCTGTGTACAGCTATTAACCAAATGAAAAACAACAAAGCCAGTGGACCTGATGGGATACCTGCGAAAGTCTGTAAAGTGGGAGGAATTGAACTTACACAACAACTTCATTTGGGAAGACAGGTGAACTAATACCAGTGTACTGGAAGAAGCAAAGATCACCAGTGTTGAAGCAATGGTTCTTCAACATCAACTTTGTTGGACTGGTCATGTTGTTTGGATTCCAGATTATTGTCTTCCAAAGCAACTAATCGATTCTGAACTTAGAAATGGAAAGCTTAATGCTGGTGACCAACAAAAGAAGTTTAAAGTCTCAAGACAAATCTAAAAAAAATGTAGTATAAACACAGACAACTGGGAAACACTGGCCTGCGAGAGCTCCAACTGGAGAACAGCCTTTACCAAAGGTGTCATGGACTTTGAAGACACTCGAACTCAGGACGAAAGAGAGAAACAAGCTAAGAGAAAGGCACATTTGGCAAACCCTCCCCATGATCAACTCCTGCCCGGCAACCTATATCCCCACTGTGGAAGGACGTGTGGATCCAGAATTGGCCTCCACAGTCACCTACGGACATACCGTTAAGACCGTGTTCGTGGAAGACAATCTTACTCAGCTATGAGTGGTCGCCAAAGAAGGAAGAAGCATATATCATCATTAACATAGTGAAATTCTGATCAAAGTAGAGATGCAGTCATCAAAAACTAAATAAACATTTTCTTTCATAGTCTGGCACAATATGACATACATCCAAGTAAACAAACACAGGACTCCACTGTAAGAACAGCACCACTTGTTTCTCCACTGTGGTCTCTTGGAAGCAATGCGCTCCCTGCTGTACAATGGCTCTGGAAGCTGGAGCACATTACTTGAGATAAATAATGCTACTAAAGAAAGATATCTCTCTCATCACTCACAAGGAAACCGAAACTGCACATATGAAGCCAACCTATATAAGTTGCAGAATACTGGACAGAAGATGTTACTGGAATAAATAATAAAGCATTAATAACATCATATGTACAATATATATGAGACACATTCCTTTTGAAAGTGACCCGTAAACTACAATTAATCAGAGTGTGGCAGCTAGACTGGTGACTGGGAGTGGCCGCCGAGACCACATAACACCAGTCCTGAAACACCTACACTGGCTCCCAGTACGTTTCCAAGCACAATTGAAAGTGTTGCTGCTGACCTTTAAAACCCTAAACGGCCTCAGCCCAGTATAAATAAAATAATAAATAATAATAATAATAATAATAATAATAATAATAATAATTAGAGAATATTAGCATGATTCCTGCTTGCCAGCAACTACTCTTTGTTCTCTTAAATATTTCCCCACAAAGCAAGCCGGATTTCCATAGAAGTACCTCTTTTCCTTCAATCGGCTGTTTATGAAATGCCGATTAGTTCAATTTCTTACCTCTTTAAAGTTAAAAGTATAGTGCAACATTTTAATCTATGCATCAGTTTATTCTATGACACTAAGTTTCAAGGACAGAAAATAATACAATTGTTTTCTTACACAGGAGTATCTACATTGAGTGGTGAATTTCTTTCAGCAAAAGATTACAGTGTTACTAAAGTAAATAAACTTCTGGCCATCAAAGTGAAGAATGTGCATTTCTGTACAGATGTTATAGCCATTTGCATGATGAATATCAAACATTAATTTAAATTTTTGTTTCACTTTGAAGTTAAATGTTCGGTTCAAATTAATGTTGCATAGACAATGTTTTCCTCAGTCTTTCAGCCCTGTACGAGGTTTCCAGATTTTGTAGTTGAAATTAATAAATTGGTCCTTTCATAACTGCATGCCAGACTCTGCTTTTATTACAAGGAAATAAATCTGTGTAATTCTTCATGTTATTTTCACCACAAAAAACTAAAAAAATCACAGAAATTATCAAGCTATTTGTGCCTTATAAATGGGTTTTCCAAATACATTTCCTCTCCAACAGAGGGAATTGTCCAAGGAAGGAGAAAATGTGTGCCCTAGACTAGTGTGCAGAAGCAGAGCAACAAAAACAGTATTCAAGAAATGAGCCTCTTTAATTAAATGAGCTAGAAATTGTAATAGCAGACCCAAGAAAAAGTAAAACAAGTAGACTTATTCATCAAAATTGTCGTATTCTATCCAGGAGTTGAGAAAACCTGCTAGGATATTCACACAATTCTGAGGTCAATGATAATAAGCATCTCTCTCTCTCTCTCTCTCTCTCTCTCTCTCTCTCTCTCCAGCTTATTCCATATCTTATGATAAAGCCTAAATGTGGTCTCCAGCCCACTTCTTCCTGTACATTGTGGAGGCACCAGAACAACTGCAATACAGCTACCAGCTACTCTGCCAGCGCTGTCTTCAGCATATGCAAAGATCCGACCAGCACCCCCAAATTTAGTTTAGCCCCCAAATTTAGTTTAGCCCCCAAATTAACTTTCATTATGCTTATGTCAGACACCACGCTTACGCCTTATCTCTTGTTTACGAAAGAAGGGAGGAAAAAGAAACAAACTTTTTTATTTGCTCATTTATTTACAATACACTTATACATAAGTATACAACACCACCACACTTAAACTTATAAGTATTGTTTAGGCACCTGCTTAGGAGAAACATCAGTCTTGTCAAAGGTGCCGCTGACCCCGCTGCCGCATAGCAGCTCAATACAATACATTACATAATATTTTGATGTAAAAGTTAATTTCGCATGCACGGCGCCGCTGTGAACGACAAGCGCCGCCACTGGCGCAGCGCGTCTTGGGTAAATGAGCACACAAAGTCGAAAGTCCTTTAGTGAAACAGTAGGTATACATTTCGGTAATACCTAGGCATATATGTATTTTTTCTAGCTTGATCAAAATTATTTATTATTTCATAACAGGTTAAGAGCTTAGGCAATTTCAGCGGCGGGCGCCTGGAGCCCCCCAGAATTTGGCACTCGGGTGCCCTGCACCCATTGCACCCCCAGGTAAAGACGGCCCTGTGCCCTGCTGAGTATCATGGAAGACCATAGGCCATGTTTGAAGAAGCTACTAGGCATCTCTTCCATCTTCTGTCACTTCCTCCCACATGCCCTGGGGTTTCTTCATTACCTTAATGTCAAAGGAAACAGCCATGTTGTAGCAGCTGTAGAAGGGGGCTGCAAGAACAGGTAATGATGCATAGCTATGTTTCAGGTGTACTTCCCAGTAAGATATGCACATATACACTAAAGGTTATAAAGCCTGGCAATCAGGGGTGGGGAACTGGCGGTCCTCTGGATACTGCAGTGCCTATCATCCCTAGCAATTGGCCATGCTGGCTGGGCCTGATGGGAGTTAGAATTCACTAACTTTAAGAGAGCCATGACTTCTTCCACATCCCTGGTCAGGAATAGGCAAACTCGGCCCTCCAGATGTTTTGGGACTACAACTCCCATCATCCCTAGCTAACAGGACCAGTGGTCAGGGATGATGGGAGTTGTAGTCCCGAAACATCTGGAGGGCCGAGTTTGCCTATGCCTGTCCCTGGTCTACAGCCATATTCCAGAATTCCAGAGTTCTTGTGATGGCTGAAAATTCAGATCTCCACAGATCTAGGGATCCTTCCCATAATTAAGGGCTATTATGCAGCACTAACTCACCCCTTGGGCACAAAATGCAATGAATTTACAGCAGCATTACAAAGATTTATTGTTTTAACTGGGCAAGTCTGTTCTATGTATTGTATATAGGATATAGCAGAGTGTTCTCAGTTCTGAACTAACACATGTAGACACAAGTAAACTGTATCAAGGTGCTGCTGCCTGATAATTCTCATAGTAAAGCTAAACACAATCACTGAAAAATCTAAATGGAAAGCCTCTGTCAAAGAATTCAGAGAGCTTTAATTATAGGGAAGCCACTTCAACTTCTCAGCAGGAAAGAAGATTTTACCATTAAACTGTGCTGAAGGAAATGCAACTCAGATTCTTCTACCACCACCCTTGATTTAAGAAAGTCAGCCAGTTTGCTAGAATGCATACTTTCTCCTGCTCAATTTAAATTAACTTTTGGAATTTTCTGCTTTTTAGAGCCTATGACATCAATATTTCTTATATATCTAAAAGAAACAGACATTTAAATTAACCACCTAGAGAGAAATCTATAGCCTTGTCTGGCATGCAAGTATACATGGACATGTCATGAAAATTTGGTGACAAATAACCTGTTTCCTGATGTATTGGCTGCTCAGACTTCATGCCCGTGAAATAGCTTTGTCCTCCAGGAAGAAAAATATCCTTTTAAAACAGTCAATATTCCCAAAGTCCACTTCTCTCAGCCTGCTATATCATTCAAAACCTAATGCAGAACTGACATGGTTTCCTTGCAATCATTCTAACATAAAAGAGTAAAATTAAAGAGACTTGAAGCTATGAAAGGAATAAAAGCACTGCCATTCACAATAATAGCACTGTTTAAGGCAATCTGAAACCTGAGATTATTCAAAAGATTGGCTTGTTCCAGACTGTTTAAAGTTAAGACTGCACTTGAACTGATAAATTACTCTTTGGGGAACAACATGAAAACAGCATACAGTCAACATAAAAATGTAAACCTAAACATACCTGAATTGGAGTCAAACTTAGTTTCTGATCTGAAATAGAGAGAGAAAGGGGGGGGGGGATCCTTTAATGATAAAGAACTGTTTATGTCATGAGAAACCCATGACTGAAGTACAAATAGCAAACTTATATATTAATGCACCTCATCTGTAAACACATTTGTTCCTAAACATAATCTCAGTGTATTTTTACATTAGAAACCTTGATCAATAATCACAGAACACAATGAACAAAAAACCCCACAACCCCTCTCCATAAAGTTAGAAGAAATACATTGTCAGAATTACAAACACCATGTCATTTATCCTCTATCATCACACTTGTCAGATTTATTTCTTTGGAAAGCATCATAAGACGGTTTTAATCAACGTGCATGTTAATCTGTCCCCTCAGTAAATAAATGGTTGTTTCCCTTAAGAACAGAGAAGGCTGGAAAACCCAGAGAACAAGAGACTAGTACACACAAAACATACAAATACCATGCCCATTCTATACTACCAATTTTGCCTGTTTATTACATGATATCTTATGTGTTTAGCATACCACAAAAGAACTCAGTAGGCTGTAGATTTAATAATGAGAGGGAGGAGTGGGGAACAGAGGGGAAATTAGCCTTTGTGGGAACATCATGTTTCAGATATAGCTTAATGATAGTTCTAAACTCAGAAGCCTTTGAAGCTCTCAATTCAGCTGTGGGAAAACGCAAGTTGGGTAATTGCTTTCAAGATGCTGCTGAAGTGCTGTCAAGCAGAATTAACCCTATGACTAGTCCTATCCGAAGAAACAGCTATAAGAAGCATTGTCTAGGTCTAACTCTCAAACCAATTAGTGGGCATACTCTAGCCAGAATTATATCACAAATTAACCATCAGTGGTGTGTGTGTGTGTGTGTGTGTGTGTGTGTATGTGTGTGTTTATACACATATGCGCACACACACACACCCTGCCACAGCAAGTTACAAGTGCTGATTGGTAGGAATCTTCCTAAAGCCTGTTATTTCTGGAGCGGTATTTATTAAGGCGGTGATGGAGACTCTATGGCCCTACAGATATTGTTGAACTACAACCCCCAACATCCCTGACCACAAGCCGTGCTGGTTGGGGCTGATGGGAGACCCACAACCTGGAGGTGCCACAGATTTCCCACCCCTGCCCTAAAGGATATAGGGAAGTACACCCAAGCCACGTAGGAAATATCAGATTCCTTGAATCCATAAGAAGACATTGGTGCGCTTTGGGGAGTTGTACAGGTCTTTCAATAAAGCAACAATTGCAAACTGTTCTGTGTTAAACATAAAAATCCCCCACCCAAAAACAAATTAGTGCAAAGCACTATAAATTTATTTTTTTAAACCCATAACTTCACGTTAACTGGAATAAGTCATTAGATGGCGATGGAAAGAGTCAGAAAAGCCAAGGGAAAAAAGGGGCGTATATATGGAAAATGGTTGCTTTGTTCCACTAAGAAACCCTCAATATGTTCAAAGGGTAGGAAAAGAAGCAAAGATTTTTAGCCAAAAATATATTCTAATAGTACTGAACAGTGCACCAGCAGCATGAATCAAAGCATTAATCTCCATTACAAGTGAACACCCTTCCAGTAAAGAGAATATTGCCTGCTCAAGGCCATGAACGGGTGAGTGGGTATACAGAACTCAGAGAGCCTGCTATATGGCCATAAATTTCACACATTACTCTGAGGGTATAAATAGTGTATTTTTTTATAATAATAATAAAAGGAATTCTGACAGCAATCTTACTGCCAACTTTTGTTTCTTTTGGGCACAATCCACAGGACATTTTCCTGTATAAGCCCCGCAGAATTCGTTTTGTAAGCTCTCCCACAAGCAGGGCAATTTTGATTCAAATCAGGCTACATCATTTCCCATTTGTGTATCAGATATTTCCTAAACAAATATGCCTACCTAGTGCTGTCACACTTGCAACATGAGGACTGACAACTTAATAGAGCCATTATAGTATATCGGCAGATGCCATAGGCAGAGTTTATAGGGCTGATCCTACTGTGAAAGCTAGTATATACCTCTATACAGTGGTACCTCAGGTTAAGCACATAATTCGTTCTGGAGGTCTGTTCTTAACCTGAAATTGTTCTTAACCTGAAGCACCACTTTAGCTAATGGGGCCTCCGTCTGCTGCCGCGCCACTGGAGCACAATTTCTGTTCTCATCCTGAAGCAAAGTTCTTAACCTGAAGCACTATTTCTGGGTTAGCGGAGTCTGTAACCTGAAGCATATGTAACCCGAGGTACCACTGTACTTTATACAAAAGAAAGCCGGTGGCTGCCAATGGGGAAAGGTTGTTGGTGGCAAGCATTGGAGCCAACACCTAGAAGCTGGGGGGTCTTTGCCCCCCATAAAATATTTGAGGGGGGCAGGGGACCCCAAAGTTAATGGGCATTGTCATTCAAATGGTGTGCATGCACCACATCATGTGATTGATTATGTGGGGCGGGGCTTACCCCCCCCAAAAAAAATATTTTTTTCAAGTTGCCACCCTTGGTGGCAGGCAGCTCCCGTACAGGGAGTAGCATGTGAGCAAGGTGGTAGGGAGCAGACAAAAGGCAACTGGATTCTAACCATTCTTATCAAATGCATAGGGAAACTTTGAGGGGATAATAGATGAAGGTAGAGGGGGTTGGCAGGTAGGCGGGGTTGGTGAACGGAGGGGGTTAAACTTATTATTTTACTGCACTGCATTGTAGTTCTGCTTAATATTGCATTGCACTGTACCACAGTTTTTCATATATATTTGTTATTTTGTAAACCAGTTAAGTATTAAATAGACACTGCCAGCTTTGCTAAATTCCCTTACCGAATCCTGTTACATTTCTTCTGTCCTACTTCTAACTGGCTTTTCCTTCACCACTAGTCCAGAGGCCAAGTTGTGACGAAAATAGAAGTAAAATTCGCTAAATTAGACATCTACCATAGGCATAGGCAAACTCCAGCCCTCCAGATGTTTGGCACTACACTTCCCAGCTAACAGGACCAGTGGTCAGAGATTATGGGAATTGTAGTCCCAAACATCTGGAGGGCCGGAGTTTGCCTATTCCTGATCTACCACATACCTCCACCCCAGCCCATTGCCCAGCAAAAGGTGAAAACATTGCCCCACAATGACAAGTCAAATGAGGTACAGAAGAAACCCCTAACTGCCTGATCCTAGGGCATGGATGGTTTAAGTAGTCAGGCTTCCCGCTTTTTGTGTCTGTATTTAAACAATTTATATACTATTCAGCTACAATAGTCTCTAAGCAGTTTACAAAGGTATAAAAGATAAAAATCAGTTAAAACTATAAAATCAAACTTTCCCCTCCAAAATCAGGCAGGGGTGTGTCCCACTCTGCATTTCAGGTCCTGCAATTCCCCCATTCCACAAGCTACAAAGCTCAGGCAAAGGCCTCTTTCTGCCAGAAAAGGGCTCTTTCTGCAAGTTTCTATAAAACAATTAATTAGGAAACAAAGCATTTTTTTTATTGTAACAGGGACTCATAACACAACTACCTGTAGGAAGATTACAGGGAAAGCCAAGCTTATCCCCACTTCAGATGTTCAGATGTGGGTAAATTTCCTAAGCAAAATGACTCTCAGTTGCATTTTTGCAAATGTAAAGCTGGATTTTTCTGGGCAATAATTTTAAGACTATGCCACATTTCATTATAGAAAAGTGGTGGTGGTGGTCACAATTAAATACCTTGTAGCTTTTCAAGTTGCTGGAACGATCAAATTAAATGAAGAGTGAGATTGAGTTTCACTGGTTCCTTGCTGATAAGGGTAGAATTCTATTTTAAACGTGTACCAAGAAACCTCAGGTCTTTCATCTGCAGAGCAAAATTCATGTGTTCCTTGACCTTACGTGCCACACAGTAATGAAGCAGCATAAATCAGATCTATTAAAGGTGAAGTTTGTTAATCTTAGTGCTGAAGAACCATTCTCCGTTTCCTGGCAAAAATAACTGGTTCACAGGTCATGATGACATAGTTACAGACTACAATGGTGCAAAGAACAAAAAATTAACAGCAACTCTCAGAAACATGGAGTTCAGGGGATGGGAAGGAAGCCAAATTCTGTTACCCATATTTTACAATTGTGATGGTTCTTCAAATATAGCAGTGGTTACAATGATGACCCTGACTCTGTGTGGAGAAATGTAATGAATGCTAGACTATGAACTTCCAACATAGGTGAGAGCCAGTGTGGTGTCGTGGTTAAGAGCGGTAGTCTCGTAATCTGGGAAACCGGGTTCGCGTCTCCGCTCCTCCACATGCAGCTGCTGGGTGACCTTGGGCCAGTCACACTTCTCTGAAGTCTCTCAGCCCCACTCACCTCACAGAGTGTTTGTTGTGGGGGAGGAAGGGAAAGGAGAATGTTAGCTGCTTTGAGACTCCTTAAAGGGAGTGAAAGGCGGGATATCAAATCCAAACTCTTTTTCTTCTTCTTCTTCTTCTTAAATTCTTGTTTATGGTGGTAAGGAATCGGCAAACCCTGAACTGATGCTTTTTACATCATCCTTTAGTCTATGCTCACATAAAGCCCAGTATTTTTGGTTCCATTACAATGTGTCTGCACTGATGATTTGCTCTGCGTGAATCTTGACCCAGTATGAATTGAAGGCGAGTCTTACTTGCATGGGCTACAGTTGAGTTTTGACGTAGCCCTTGAGATTCTCCATCAACAAGGAGTTCAGTTATGCTGCTTCTGTTCAGGGCAGCTTTTCCCAACCTGGTGCCCTCCACACATTGTGGACTACAATTCCCATCAGCCATAGTGAGATCAGTATGAAGTACGAGACCAATACCTTAACATCCACCTCTATAGCACATATGTAACACTCAAAAAGCCAGAGCCACCATTATTTTGTAACCATGTTTAATTTACTCACTTGAACAAAGGAGTTCCACAAACAACACATTTGTATATTCCATGAGCTTTGTGATGTGTGTATTCTCCTTCAAAGGCACTAGAACAAAACAGCAACATAGTACTTTAGCAAACAGGTTATTCCATATCAAGTTGTCCAACTTTTTAACCTCATGTCATCCAGTTTTCTTAATATTTTGCACACTTGTTGAACGATGAAAACTAAGTTTAAATCTAAAATTTTAGCTTTTTATCTCATCCTATTTTTGAGTTATGAGGGTTTGAAATTTCAAAAAAATGACAATTTTGGCCTTGTCGGACTACACTAAAACCCTAAAAGCTCAGCCCAGCATTGAGATACGTCAGAACTAAAAACACCAATCTCTTCAGAACTTCATGGGCTTTAATATGATATGCCACAAGATATACTTACTTTAAATTATAAATTTAAGTTACAATTTTTTTTATTAAAAAGTGATTAAAAATATGATTAAAGATTTTCAAAAAATGTATTGACTATTTAATATTTCTAAGATCTACCTACAAAAATTCATCTTGGGATCTCAATGGGAACACATTGAAAAAAATATTTTGTACATACATGTTTGCGTTATTGGGTTCTATTTAGGATAAATGGGTCTTCTTGGAGTAAAATATAACAGAAAAAACAAGACTTCAAACTCTAATATCAGTTACTTCAGGCATTTCTTTAGAAAGTTATGTAATTAAAAGGCATCTGAAAAGCTAGTCAGGCTTTTATTTTAAAAATGTGTTTAAAGTAGAGTGATAGCTTGCAGTTGCATTATAGAATTAATGCTTTCAAAGAATTTTTGTTAGAACTTCATTTCATTAACATTACAACAAAATGCATATCAAACAAAATTATGACACCCAAACAGGGAACTCTCATTGCGTTAACACTGAAATTGTTATGTTCAACTCTTATACCATATTGACCCGAATATAAGCCGCACCCACAAATAAGCCACACCTTTAAAATTCAAGGGGGGTGGGAGAGAATACCTGAATATAAGCCGCTCCCTTAAAATTACGCCTGCACTCACACCCGTTCCATTTTACCAGATGTCTGTTTCAGCACCAATACTGTAAAAGCCAATTTTTGTAAGGCTGCGAATTTAAGCCGCACTTTAACTTTTCACAGTTGGAATTTGGGGGGGAAGTGCAGCTTATATTCAGGCCAATACGGTCGATGTTCCAATATAAACGGTACTTCATGGTTTGCGAATTATTGTTCTTTCTTCAGAAACAAAAAAGGTGCATATTAAAATCTGAACAGCAACATAAATGTGTCCTGTTTATGAAAAGAAACTATTGTTCAGATGTCCAAGTGCAGAACAGCTTACAAGTAGCTAGACGTTTTCAATCAAGCCCTTTTCTCTTTTTCTGCACCTGAACGTTACGGTAATTTTAAAATAAACCTCAATACTAAACATCTTAACAACATTTCCATATCATAGTCTTGATCTCTTGCATTGAGCTATGCAGTAGTGCAAGATCTTTGTGGGAGATTGGGCAGGACTACCAAGAGAATCAAACAGAAAAGGAGGAGAAGAAAACTGGCCCATGATTTCAAGCTGTGTGAGCTCTATATTTTTATTTGAAAAGGAATATTACTGCTTTAAGGGAATATTTTTCTAAGTTAACAATCTTAAAGGCTAGGAGGTCATTCAACTAATACAATTCAGCTGTGCTATTCCAACAAAAAGTCTATGTGCTCTGCAGCTTGTTTTTATTATCTTTTCACCCTTTTTACGGGGGTCCAATATATTTTTTTATAAACAGGATTTTAAAAAATGACCTAAACCCTGGTTGTTTGTGCACACTAAATCATTTTTGCTAATCTTCTACACAACAGTAAACGACTTGCCTGGAAGGCCTACTGAGCTGGCGGAAAGCACCACCACCAGTTTGTTGTGGGGGTACAGACAACCTAGTGCCAGTGATCCCCATTCAGAAAGTCTAGTAAAAAGGCGACTCCGACAGGAAGACTGTTGCCAATTAAACAGGACCCCACATGTGGCAAAGGAGGTTTTTTGGAAATGGGGGTGGAATGAAAGATTGCATATTAACACCGGTCCTGAAAGACCTACATTGGCTCCTGGTATGTTTCCGAGCACAATTCAAAGTGTCTGGTGACTGTATCGCCAGAGTGGTGCATGCTCTAGTCATCTCCCACTTGGACTACTGCAATGCGTTCTACGTGGGGCTACCTTTGAAGGTGACCCAGAAACTACAACTAATCCAGAATGCAGCAGCTAGACTGGCGGCTGGGAGCGGCCGCCGAGACCATATAACACCGGTCTTGAAAGACCTACATTAACTCCCAGTATGTTTCTGAGCACAATTCAAAGTGTTGGTGCTGACCTTTAAAGCCCTAAACGGCCTCGGCCCAGTATACCTGAAGGAGCGTCTCCACCCCCATCGTTCTGCCCAGATACTGAGGTCTAGCGCCGAGGGCCTTCTGGCGGTTCCCTCCCTGCAAGAAGTGAGGTTGCAGGGAACCAGGCAGAGAGCCTTCTCAGTAGTGGCGCCTGCCCTGTGTAACGGCCTCCCACCAGATGTCAAGGAAATAAACAACTATCAAACTTTTAGAAGACAGCTGAAGTTTTTAATGTTTGATCTTTTATCGTGTTTTTAGTATTCTGTTGGGAGCCACCCAGAGTGGCTGGGGAAACCCAGCCAGATGGACGGGGTATAAATAATTTTTTATTATTTTTATTATTATTATTATTATTATTATTATTATTATTACTACTACTACTACTACTACTAATGCCACACACAATTTAAATTACCCTAAGACAATAATGTAAAGATTTAGTTGCCAGCGCCAAGAATCCAAAATGCGGATGTATATAAAACATAAAATGGCCCCAAAATAGGCTCGGCACATTGGGTTGAAAAAGTAATAAAAAGAATTAAAACAGGTCCAGGTCTAGGACACACTACCCAGTCAGAGTAGCCCTGAGTTTCAGAGCCTGCACTATAAAGATTGCCACCCCACGTGAAATTTGGGGATTTGCGTCCACAAGAAGCGATTTCAAACAGTCTTCCTTAGATGTAATGGTGGACGGGATCAAGAGGAGGAGCTTAGGTCTTATTGGCTCATAAATAGGGCAGTAGAAAAGAAATGTATGAAGTCCTCTACTTCATTCATTGTGCATGGACATAAACGCTGAGTAATAGGGGTCTTAGAGTAAATCCCCTGCAGGAAGGCCGTGGGTATAGAATGGAAACGGGCCATAGTAAACGCTCTTCTCAAATTGGGCTCCGTCAGGTCTATCAAGTAGTTGGCAAGTGATCTTACCACTTTCACTTTAGGGAGCCACATGGAGAGGCGAGCTGTAATGGACTGTGCCCGGTCCATGGCCTCGTCTCTTGTAAGAATCCAGGCCCGGATTTTATGTTGGTCCCAAGATGACAGCGTGTCGAGATCTGGGAGGGAGTAGCGTGCAGTAATAGTCTCCATGGCCTTGGACCATTTGTTGGTATGAGAACAAGTTAAAAGGCTTGCCTAGCTAGTAGGGAACCTGGGGCATTGAATAATTTACAGTAAAAACTAATGATTCTAATGTGGGCTCTTGCAACGATGGAGGGAGGCCCAGTTCTGTTCTTAACTGTGCAGCAACTGAGCCCTTGGGGAGGCCCAGTATCTTTCGTGCAAAAGAGTTTTGCAGAATCTCCAGCGATTGTAGTGTTTTTAAATTCCACCCCCAGATTTCAACCCCATACAGTAACATCGGGAGGACTTTGCTGATAAATGCTTTTCTGATTGGTGGAACCAACTGGCCGCCTTTTGCATAGAAGAATTTCTCCAAGGCTTTGATGGTTCTACGGGCAGCCAGGATGGTCATATTTAGGTGAGCTGACCAGCTAAGCCCATGCTGAAAAGTGATACCCAAATACTTGAATGCTGAACAATATTCAATAGAGTGGCCCTCAAAATTCCAGAAAGGCTTCCGAGTTTTCGTGCCAAAAGTAAGAATTTTGGTTTTGGCGAAATTGATTTTGAGGGAGTTGGTATCACAATATGTCATGAGCCCTCTGAGCATGTTGTTTAAGCCCTGCTTGGTTAAAGACAGTATCACCATGTCGTCCGCATAGAGTAATATGGGGATCTTGAGCTGTTGTAAAGAGGGGACAGATTGATTTAGGGCCTTCATGGTTGTAACGATGTCATTGATGTAGAAATTGAATAGAAAAGGGGCCAAGAGGCAGCCCTGTTTGACCCCTTTATTCAGAGGGAAAGGATCAGATAGAGCTCCCAGAGGGCCGAATTTTACTCTGGCCGATATGTCATTATGAATTTCCATAAGAAGGTGGAGGAGTCTCTTATCTATGTTAGTGTAACTAAGCTTCTGCCATAGCCTATCTCTGGGGATGGAGTCAAAAGCGGAGGTCAGGTCCACAAAAGCCGCGTGTACTACTATTGCTATTGGAATGGAAGCAGGCCTGACTTTAAACTCCATGGTCAGAAGAAACAGAGAATCATAGAATTGCAGAGTTGAAAGGGACCCCGAGGATCATCTAGTCCAACCCTGCAGGAATATGCAACTGTGCCAAATGGGATCTAACCTGCATGCAGCAAAATAGTTAGACATTGACCGAGGTGACCGCCACCTCCTCCTCCTCATTCTAGAAATCAGCTGAGATAAATTATATTCACGGCGAGAGCCTTAGGAATTAGCTCTCTTGTCTCCTCCCCCCCCCCAACCTTCTCCAGGATTTAGAGCTTGCTTTCAAGGTCTAAAGCCATGTGAGGGCAGTTATTGAAAATATTTGACATTCCAGCCACAAATGAGCCAATAAATACTTTCTCCACGTGTGCTTCAATACAGAAAGTGGAAAAGGAATGAAAATATGCTACCTTCTTACTCTCGCTGACCCCCATCCAAACTGTCTGTACATACAATGACCACCTTCAAAACTTCACCTTTAAATGGCACAGGGCTATTTCCCTTATGGTTCTGCTTACTGTGGTGTCTCCACCCTCCTCCCCCAAAACAACAACAAAAGACTCTCTTAACTGCCATTACTTCCACACATTTTGTAGTAAACTGAAAACAGACCCCAAGAAGAAGCTGAAGGACAGAATAGCGTTCATTTTATATTTATGAAGTCCGTGACCTTGCCCTTCCCGCTGCAAATTCCTGTCTGGTTTGGTGGTGTTAATTTGTATAAGTTAGTAAACAAGTGCTAAATTTCTTGAAGCTGTCAGCTGAGGAGAAAACAGCAGCAGATTGAAAGAGGAGCTGGCTGTGTTTCTCATTGACCACATGGCCATACCTTACCTCTCAGTCCCTTTCTCCTGAGTAACATGGTATTGCAAAGGTGTCAGCCGCTTCCGCAGTTCTTGCTGGGAGAAGACCACCTTACAGTTCTTTTTATCCCTGCGTGACCCTGCAAAGGGAGAGGATACAGGAGAAGGGGTCTTTTTAGTTGAAATCCTGAACAATAGCTTTGGCTTCTAGCCAAAACACAGCTTCTGCGTTTACTTTCCCAGTGACCAGATCAACTTCTAATATATTAGAGTGCCTCAGCTGGTGGCTTCTTCAAATCCAACTTTTTTTTAGTAATAATAAAAAAAGTCTGCTGTTCACAAGGGGGGGTGACTGCATTAGAACAGTGATCATGTGATACAGCCAAAGCCTTCTGAATGCAGAAAAGTCACAACCATCGGCAAGATTCTACATTCACACAATCATTCACAAAAAGGCGACAACCTGAGCCTAAACATAATGGAACTTCCCAGTAAATATGCTTAAGAGCACAGCCTTTGTATTTGCAAGAAACTGTAGATATAAAGGTAATGGGCATATGATGTTTAAACACAATTCGGTGAAACTTGAAAGTTTTGTAATTAGCTATCGTTGACTTAGAAACAAATGTTTCTTTAAAATTTTACTTCTCATCAAAGAGAATAGCTGACAGCACTTCAGTTGGAAGCTATAATTTGCATTTTTTATCTAAATGAATGGTATTTTAAAGGTCTGCCTGCTGCTGATAAGAAACAGATAAGCCTTCCTGCCTCATCAATTTGATTTTTGTAAAATCTGTTGCAAGCTCGAAATACTTTCTCTGGAGGTTGCTCATGATTACTTCCTCTTGTGTCTTAGGAGCATCCAAAATATTAATGGCATTGAAAAGTATTACCTACTACTGCTGAGAGAGATAAAGAAATCTCTCTTAGAATTAATGTATTAATCTGCAAATTATTGCTACATGGAAATAGCATGCCTGCTACTTTATTGTTTGTTCTGTATATTGTACTAGAAATTAAAATATTCTGCTTGAAAAAGACTTTTAGTCAGTCCATTAGACCCAGTAAAATTAATCTGAACCTTGAAAAGCACATAAAGCTGAAAGAGAGAGTGAAAAAGGACCACTCTTTGAACCACCTCCTCTTTCCACTCCGTGTACTTTTCAAAAGATAAAAAGGTGACCAATTCATCACCAAGAGGGCAGTGAGTGGGTCAGCTCAGGGGCTTTGCAGATTCCGGGAAAGACCTCAAGGGTGCCCCTGCAGCCATGGATGCCAAGTTGGCGACCCTTGACTTATACAGTGGTGCCCCGCAAGACGAATGCCTCGCAAGACAAAAAACTCGCTAGACAAAAGGGTTTTCCGTTTTTTGAGCTGCTTCGCAAGACGAATTTCCCTATGGGCTTGCTTTGCAAGACGAAAAACGAAAACGTCTTGCAAGTTTGTTTCCTTTTTCTTAACACCGTTAATACAGTTGCGACTTGACTTCAAGGAGCAACTCATAGAACGCGGTGTGGTAGCCTTTTTTGAGGTTTTTGAAGACTTTGGTGATTTTGAAGCTTTTCCAAAACTTCTTTTAAACTTTTAAAACGTTTTGGGGGGTTTTTGGATTTTGGGTTGGGGTGTTTGGAATTCAAGGACTTGGTGTTGGGGAGGGGTTTGCAAGAATCTGGAAGCTTGTTTTTTTTCTGCATTTTTATGATTTTCTGTGACCATTGGGCCACTCTGCTGTTTTTTTAAAAAAATTCTGGATTTGAATTTCTGTGTGGTGGGTGGCTGGGGGAACAGTTGAGGAGGGGTTTGCAAGAATCTGGAAGCTTGTGTGGTTTTTTCCTGCATTTTTATGATTTTCTGTGACCATTGGGCCACTCTGCTGTTTTTTAAAAAAATTCTGGATTTGAATTTCTGTGTGGTGGGTGGCTGGGGGAACAGTTGAGGAGGGGTTTGCAAGAAGCAAAGAGTGGAAGAGGAACCTTCTTCGAGTTGTCCCCCAGAGTCTTAGAAAATGTACTGTACACTTTGTTGATTTTTAAATGTTTTTCTGTCATGTTTAGAAACTTAATTTATTGTTCCTTCAGTTTTTGAAATGCTCTTTACAGTATGTGTGACTTTAAAGAGCACTTAATAAACTCTTGTTGTACCAAATTTGGCTTTGTTTGGACTTTTTTTGACCATAGGAACGCATTAATTGAATTTCAATGCATTCCTATGGGATTTCGTGCTTCGCAAGACGAAAAATTCGCTAGACGAAAAAACTCGCGGAATGAATTAATTTCGTCTTGCGAGGCACCATTGTAGAATATGTTGTTATTTATTTAACAGGATTTATGCACCCCTTGATTGTAATAAAACCTTGAAGTGGTTATACATTTGGTGGCAGTGGTGTGATTTATTAACAGTCTTCCGGCTCATTAAAATGATTAAGCAAAATAAAATGATCCAGTCTATTTTAAATGACAAAAACCAGGTTATCGAAGGCAGGAGGGTAGGGAAGGATTTGGGAGAATTTGGAAGAGCCATTGGCTGTGTTTGGACATTACTCAAAACCACAGTTTAGAACAACATGAATGAGCTCTTGCACATTCCTTCACCTCTCCCTATGCACTTCTTTACTAGGAGGAGGAACTCAGAATCTTTGACTTTTGCTACACCTCATGAGTAGAGAAGACTTCCTGGAAAAGACCCTGATGTTGGGAAAGATTGAAGGCACAAGGAGAAGGGGACGACAGAGGATGAGATGGTTGGACAGTGTTCTTGAAGCTACCAGCATGAGTTTGACCAAACTGCAGGAGGCAGTGGAAGACAGGAGCAGGAGTGCCTGGCATGCTCTGGTCCATGGGGTCACGAAGAGTCGGACACGACTAAACAACAACACAACACCTCACTTTGTTGTTTTGTCAGAGCCAACAAACTGTGGTTAATATTAAGTATAGTTTGTTTGACACAAGCCAACTAGAAGCCATGATTTCAACAAACCCAAAGCAGAAGTGAAAGATTCTGAACTTATTCTGCTGGAAGAAGGCAGGTTTGCCCAAGGTTTGCTGTGGTTCATTCATGCTTGCTCACATTGCGCTAGACCAGTGGTTCCCAACTGGGGTTCCACGTAGCCCACCCAGGGGGTCTGTGGCCCCATTCCCGTAACAAAAGCTACCATAGAGATGTCAACATTTTCAAAATATATTTAATTATCTAACTTAATTATTTTTAACAGAATGAATATGGGGTTGTTTGACAAGGCAAAATCACCACAAAATATATATTTTAAAGAATCCAGTTGTTGGATGGACAGATGGGGGAGGGAAGGCATTAAATAACCTATAAAAACTTTAGTTTTTGGCCATATACTACTGAAGTTAGGCTACAAATACATGTATTTAAAATTATATTCAAAAGCCACACAGGTGTTTTAGGAAAATCAAAACTTTTGAAGTGTCTACAGTTAGCCTGGGCCTGAAAAACTAATGTTTTTCAAAATGAGTTTTTCTAATTACTGAAGGAGTTATGCTTGATTAGAAATAAACAGTCTTGACAAAAGTTTGTTAGTAATAGATATATGCTCATAAAGAAAGCAATTGTGTTCTCAAAGTAGAGTGACCAGAGTTATCCATCTGTATGTCATTTAGTACAAGAGAAGAAACGGCAGGTTTAAATTACATGGTATTGGATTGCAATTTCCTAATGTTGGATGCTTTTCTGCTTTTTTACCTTCAGTCATTACTAAGAAGTGTTCATAAAAAGTAGCTTAAAGAACAGATGCTTTCAAATAATTTAAGGAAAGATGTTTCTTTTTTCCCCTCCCCTTTATTCCATTTCTATATATATATATATATATATATATATATATATATATAAAATTTAAACATACACACTTCTGGTCACTACTGATTATCCCTTTGCAGGCAGAAAGAAGAACATTTAAAAGTATTTGATTGGAGTAAACAGTAGACATTGCAAGCTTTGTTATTAACTTGCAAGGTACTAGAAAGAAACTTTTATCTCACAGATTAGAAATTACTTTTGATCTTGCCATTCTTTTAAAAACTCAAGTTTTCTACTTTGAGCTCTCTCATTAACGGCTGCAGAGCCCTCATTTTAATAGGAGTCTTTGAAAGACCACTGTTGTTAACCCCATTGTTGGCTTAAATCTTATTTCGGAGGAGGATAAAGACTTTATTCCAGATTTCTTTGTCTTACAAGATTCACTATGCAAGTACTCACCCAAATTTTGCAGGAATGTCCTGTTTCATAAGCGACAAATTATTTGGGTTTTGTGCACTTAAAGGTCACCTTACAAATTAGCAAGATTTTCCTACATCCTGGCTTCTCAACCTTAAATATAAATATTGTTTCCGAACTGTGAGTGAGGTTTGTGCTTTACAAGGTTATGTTGATTATTTTAAGAAGTCAAGTGGTGGAGGTTTACATTCACAGGCTCTGCTGTTTTCTTGCACTAATAAGTCTTTCAGAAGTTTACCTAAAAGCAAAATAAGAACCTACATTATTCATGCATGCAACACTGTTTTGACCTGTTTCGGGATCAACGTTAAAAACCCACAGACAAGGCAATGTTGCCCTATGCAATCTCTTAATTTTATAATTTAAGTTACCGTAGCTTCCAATCTAAATCCAGGGCTACAAAAAGACTATTTATTTTATTTTATGTGGCCCACTTACATCTCTGGAGGTTCATAATAGGTAGCAATGGTAGAACAAAGCTCCAAAGTCCAATAAAAAAACAAAAACAAACCCTTTTTGTCTTATCTCAATTTGTCCCTGGCTACCAAAAGTTTGATTGAACAAAAAGGTCTTCTTTAATTTGTTTATAAGAATTAAAAGATTAAGGATTGCACTTCATCTTTGCATTCATCCATTATATCATTTCAGAGGGTATTTGTATTGTTTTTATAAAACATAACAAATTACAAAATATCTTATAAATTTATTATTATTGTTGCCTTACTTACATTTTGTAGATTGATTCTTTATTATTTTCAGTACAACCTTCCCAGTATTTTTCTACTGATTTTTACTGTTCTAATATTCACTAATTTTTTTACCAATATTCCAGTCAGGCTTTTCTTTGGGGGGGAAATCTTTTAAAAACTGTGGAGGAACAACTAGCCTTCAAAGAGTGAGTTTATTTGTTTTTAAATCACACTTATTTCAAATATTTATACACTACCTCTCCATCACTCAAAACTAGTTACGACTTAAATAATAATAATAATAATAATAATAATAATAATACAAACAAATGTAAAAATAAAATTCCAGCAAATCCTGAGTACTTCTACTCTAGAATGAAACGATAGGGAAGCCCTGGCATTCTAAAACTTTTAAATGTATTTTTCTGTATTTATATATACAGTATCTGATGCCACTTTATTGCTATATAGTGTTTTGCTCTCTGTTTCCTTATTTGTAAGCCGTGTTGGGGTCTTTCTGGACTTTCAAGCAGGTGTAGAAACTTGGGTATTGCCAAAGTTCCTGGGCAATCGTGACTTTGTACATACTAGATGTTGGGCTTAACTGAACTGTTCAAATGAAAAAGGTCATGATATAATAAAACAGTGGGGTGTGTTTTGACAAGATCATTTAGGTCCGTTGGAATAATCAGCAGCACCTGAGATTGAGTCTGGGAGGCAGCAGGAAGCCAGTGTAGGCATTGGAGTGCTGTCGATCACAATACATTATGATTATGACTAGGCTCTCCACATAAGAAAGGTCAAATGCTCTGCACCAGCTGCAGCTTCTGAACCACTACCAATGGTAGCGCCACACAAAGTGCCTTAGGGTGGATCATGTCAGGATTATGAAGCTATGCATGATGGCTATGAGGTCCATCTCTGAAAGAGGGCCACAACGTACATGCCTACCCACTGCGACCTGAATATCTGGAGTCAATGAAGAGTAATATAGGAGCACATCAAACACTGCAAGCCGCGGCTGGCGCTGTGGTCTAAACCACAGAGCCTAGGGCTTGCCGATTGGAAGGTCGGCAGTTCGAATCCCCGCAACAGCGTGAGCTCCTGTTGTTCGGTCCCTGCTCCTGCCCACCTAGCAGTTCAAAAGCACATCAAGTGCAAGTAGATACCACTCCGGCGGGAAGGTAAACGGCATTTCCGTGTGCTGCTCTGGTTCACCAAAAGTGGTTTCGTCATGCTGGCCACATGACCCAGAAGCTATCTAAGGACAAACACCGTCTCACTCGGCCTGTATAGCGAGATGAGCACGCAATCCCAGAGTCGTCCGCAACTGGACCTAACGGTCAGGGGTACCTTTACCTTTATCTTTAAGTGACCAGAGGATGTACATTGCTGACACTCTGAACAATGATGTGAGTGCCAACATGCTCTATATTATGAAACCTCCCAATCATTACTACTTCTATAGTGTCTGGAGTTAATTTCACTTGGTTCACCCATATCCAGTTCCCAAACATAGATATCAGAAGACAAGCAATCAAGGTCAAAAGCACAGTCTTAATGTTATTTCCTGACCAAATATTGAACTGGTACAGATGAAACCATGTGTTCCTGGAACTGGACCATTGCTTACTCAGTGACCCGTCTTCAAGAAGGACAAATTGGAGGGACGTTTTTAGATCAGAAGATATGAGACTGTACTTTAGCCTCTCTGAAACACCTCACTGATGACCTCAAACAGTAAAGGGCCCTTCATCTCCTAGTTTGGATGTTGTTTTTAATAGAGAGATTGTCTAGAACTCTTTAAAATGTGTAAAAGAAACCACTTTAAATAACTAGGACAGGAACAAGTTCAGCTCTCAAGTTGTGGTCACAGTAAACAGACTCACAGCAAGGAAAAGACTGAAATTAGTTTAAGATTAAATATCCAACAATTTGAATTCTGTGTTTAAAACTGTGACGCTCAAGTTGAGGCAAATAGGTTCACTATACATCTTACTAGGATTTTTAAAAACATCTATCTGCTAAAGGACTTTTGTATAAAACCCCCCACTAGATTTGAACAGTTTTGCATCTTCCTTTTTGATAGGTATTATACTCAAAACATATTTAGTGCTTGACAGATGTGGCTGAATTTTGTATTTTCCATTATCATTAAAGTAGTCTCAACAAGCTACTTAACGACTTTGTAAGAGTTCATTTTCACATTAAAACTGCCTAATTATTATTAAAGTCAATTAAAAGAAAACAAAATTCAACATTAAAAACATACCCAAAAAATAACATGATATGCCCAATACCTGTATTGTAATTTCCACTGTGAACTTAGAAAATATTTTATAAATGGTATTTAAATATTCTAGCAATTAAACATTGCATAGTATTTAAAAACTTTAGTGTTAAGAAGCATCCATGTCTTTCAGACATCTTAACAATTAATGTAACTAAAATTATACATGTAATTCTACTTTTCTAGACTTCTAAGAGCAAGAAGAATAGCTTTCTACTACATGCAAAAGGTGATGCAAGCAACATAAAGTGTGAATGAGAAAAAGAGATGATTGAGCTTATAAAATGCAAACTCACAGCAAAGCAAAGTCAGTTTCCCCCTATATAAATATGGTGCTCTGCTACAGAAAATATATTTTAAAGTTTTGTATAAATACATATGAATAAAGGTTTTATTTTATCCTTACAAATTTACATTAAAGTTTTTATAAAACTAAATTTATCTGTATATTCACGGAAAATGTTGGGACACAAAAGTGTAATGAATTCTCAAATATTGTTAGATTATTCAATCGTCAAGTAGAACACTATTGATATATTTTCTAGATGAGAATTGCTTTTCAAACAAGATTAAGTCTGCATGTGAAAGATTTCTTGTTTGGAGAGGGATAATTCTATTTAAAATATTCAAAAGAATACATAATTAGTGCCATCTACTGGAAATCCGGAGCAATTAACTTTTAGGCTGAAATCTCTACAGAACATGTGTTAATTTAAAACTAAGTCGTTTCTAAATAAGCCCAATTTTGTGCATTGGAAAAAAAATAAAAACACCTCAATTATATAAACATATAACTTCTAATATTTCCTACAGAAAAATAAGATTTATTCCAGATGAATAGCAATATTAGGAAGAGGCCAATAAGGTGGCATAAACTGTGATAGGCTTGGAACAAGGCAGGGTATTGGGTGAGAGGGGAAGCAGATTGCTCTGAAGATATTCATAAACTATCTTAAAGTGCAAATCTGTTACAAAAAGGTGAACAAAAAAAGTCAGACCAGCTCTAATTTCTAATACAGAAGGAAGGCAGTGACTACTTATAGATATATATGCCATATTACTAATTCCATTCTCCCTCATTAATGTACACTTAAGTACATCTAGACTGGAAAGCAGGTGCTAGTGTTTTGAAGTGGAAACTATGACACTTATTGAGTCAATTTTACTCGGACGTTTTGGCTCCCGAATGCCGCAAACCTGGAAGTGAGTGTTCCGGTTTGCGGATGTTCTTTGGAACCCGAATGTCCAACGGGGCTTCTGATTGGCTGCAGGAGCTTCCTGCAGCCAATCAGAAGCTGCGCTTTGGTTTCCGAACGTTTTGGAAGTGAAGCTGAATTCCGGAACGGATTCCGTTCAACTTCCAAGGTACGACTGTATTGCTTATATATTGCTAGGGGAGTATTTAATGTGACTATTATTTACAGGACAATTATATTGGGGTTGTTGTTTTTTTATTTCTTTGTGAACTGAGAAACGTCAAATCTAAAGGAATTGTGTCATGTATGGGCCTCCAAGACATTTCTCAAATAATTTTTCAACATAGCTGTAAAGCATGGTGTCTCTTTAACAAATACTTTCAGCTTCAGACGTTTTAGATAGCTAGCAGTTTAGCAAAGCATGGCATAGTATTTACTGTAGCAGAGGCACCCACGTCTCTAAGAGGGACCTCCATATGCATGACCACAACAAGTAGCAGCCATTCAACCTGAGGGAAGCCCACAGGCTCGCAGGGCCACTGGCTGGCTCTTTGTCACCAAATGCAGAAGGTTGAATGCAGACATCACTGTAATATCCTCACCAACACAACCAGAGGCAAAGAACAGGGGCAAGAGCTGAGTAAGGGAGAAAAAAAAAGATGAAAATAAAATTAAAACATCAAAAATGTTAGATACATTCACAGCAAAACTGGTGGTTATGATTTTTTTTTTAAATGAAAGGAAAATACAAGACTAACATTCCAAATACACATTCATAAGTAATTTTATCTAATTCCTTGCCGTCAGGCTTTTATGCTTGATTACATTAGCATGATTGATAACATAATAAGCAAACACACTGACTGCACCGGGCGTTGATGCACCTTGCTAAAATACAAGACACAAAAAAAAGGGAATTCAAGGATGATTGGGAAATGATCTCATGAAAAATTCAGAAAATAAAACACAGAACTTTTCTTTTTCACTTATTATGAGATTACATGAATGTTCCAGGTCCCTTCAAAATAATGGGGCAGATAGTGTTACACAAATAATAGGCACTTTGAAACTGTTGAGTACTTTTAACAATTTCCCTGTCATCATATTTAAATGGTGTAATCCCATGAACACTGCACTGAGGCCTTTGGTCAAAGAGCAAGAGATGCAGAGAGGAAAGTTAATCTGAGGGGACTGGAAATTTGTTACAAGAGTTGGCAAAGTGCAGTTACCCTATGAAATAAACATAGAATCTTTTCCTAAGTTTCTGCAATGCAAACCAAAAAGAAACTTCTAGTTGGCAGGCTGCAATAAAACAGATTGTGCAAGGCTGCATCTCTCTTCTGCTATTCCCATTCATCTGAATATCCAGGAGTTTGCAATAGATTGCACACTTTGTATTAGCTGCACTAATTTTGCATCGTGACAACAACTTCATCCGCCTGTAATCTGAAGGTAAACTAAAGTTGCAGGAAGCAGTAGAAAGGGAGGCAAAGTTTCGCAGATGTTTGTACAAGAACCCGGGCAATTCCTTTTTTGTAAAGTATCATCTATGGCCTCCATGCTAATTCCCTGATGTGTAATTTGGCCAAACAGGATCAACATGGAAATTGACACCATTTTCATTTGGCTTGTGGGCATCATGAGTACACTAAATCAGGGCACACCAACAGCCTAGAAACCTGTGTGCAAACATCGAAAGAGTAGGAGGAAGGCCCTGGTGGGAAACAGTTATATCTTCTTTGCTCCCTCTTTAAGTTCTGAAAAACATGAGATTGAATCCAAAAGTTATGCAAGAGAAGGCACCTTTGAAAGCAGAACTACACTCATGCAACAGGTATCTTCCCAATTGTCAGTGATTCCCTTTCCCCACAGCAGTAGCTCCCACCCCACACTACAGTCTGTGCTCCAGAGATGCATGGTCTGGATGAGACAGGAAAGATCTGCTGCATGAATGGCCTTCTACTCACACAAACCTTGGGATCCAATCCTTTCCATTTGCATTGTGTGCGCGCATGCATTAGTTATGCAATGTAAAAGGCATGCAAAGGTATGTAGGTTACCCAGTTACAAATCACCAAAGGTGTGGATAGAAGAGGATATGTTACTGGTGTGAAATTTTCTAGGATGCAAATTTAGAGGCATCTCCTAGCTTAAACGAAATACATTTTGTTACAGTGACCAGGTGACCTGTGGTGTCTGCAGTCTGCTCTCCAAGAACTAACTGAGAGGGCCCCTTGTTGTTCCTTCTCCATCCTTAAAATTGGATTTTGACCACTTCTTCAGAGAACTGTCCTCTAAAGTAGGATATGCGGTCACCCTAAATATATACAGTGGTACCTCGGGTTAAGTACTTAATTCGTTCCGGAGGTCCGTACTTAACCTGAAACTGTTCTTAACCTGAAGCACCACTTTAGCTAATGGGGCCTCCCGCTGCTGCCACGCCGCCGGAGCACAATTTCTGTTCTCATCCTGAAGCTAAGTTCTTAACTTGAAGCACTATTTCTGGGTTAGCGGAGTCTGTAACCTGAAGCGTATGTAACCCGAGGTAGGATGACTGTTTCTACTTCCCCTACGTCAAGCAAAGGGGAAGTTGCATGTTGCTTCTTCCAGTCCCTTTAGATAAGAAGCATCAATATATGTATTATTAAATCAGTTTGAAGTACCAACAACTACCATAACCATAAAAACCCTGCTTGAATTAACATGGCTGAACGCTGACTTAGAAAGCGATGGACATGAAACATTTGTGAGTTCCTAAATGGAGAGGTGGGGAGGAAGAGTGAGAAGGTAAGTACCGCAATGAATAGCCTGAGAGAACCATTAAACATAAATAAACATGTCATTTCCACGAGTGACTGCAGAACTGCTTTTTTGTTTCCTTTCTTTAAAAAAAAAAACACCAAAAAACACCCAACTAACATTCCTCTGGAGCAGACTACTGACTAATAAAAGATCAAAGGTATATGCATTCCAAACACACAAATAAAAATGTAATCTTTTCTCCCAAGCAACCTTCACCATGAGGAATAAAAGTGTGCAGTGAAAACGTAATTACCTAGCAAAGCTGGAGTCTTATTGTGCTCCCGCAGCTGATCATAAAACGTCTTCCTATTCTGTTTCATCAACTGTAGTACCAGGCAGCCTGTGCGCCTACCAATTGCAGCCATCTGGCTTGTGTCAAAGACTGTGAGTCAAGCAGCTACAGTGCAACAGGAAGAAAGGCAGTGATGTCACTCTTCAGGTCAGGCAAAGAACAAAGATGTATTCTACCATTAAAAAAAACCAAACTGGGTGCCCCAGGAGTAGAGGCCTCTAGCATGCTTTGGCTTAGTGATTTATGATTAATGCTGCTCTTTCCACTAGCTAAGGAGCAGAGCACCACCTAGTGGTTAGCATAGGGGGAAAAGTGTGAGCGAAAGGAATGGCTTGTGTTGTTGCTTAAACCAGATGATAGAACTTTTGAAAGTTAAAAAGATTAATATCAACTAGGAATAAAAGTGTAGGTTGGCTCACACTCAAGAAGCAATTAAGCGCTCTAGACTAAATAAGTCCATCTGTTTTGTGTAACGGTACACACAGTGAACACATGCAATTTGGGATTTCACTGAAAATTCAGAAAGGATTGCCTCATCTCAGGAGTCTGACACTTATTGTCATCCAGCTAATAAGAGGTAAAGGGGGAGAGGCCCAAATATGCTTAGAAAAAGAGGGTGCTTAAGCTTCTCACAACATATTTCATTCATTCATTCATTGAATTTCTATATCTCCCATCATCTGAGGACCACAGGGCAGTTTACAATATAAAAGCACAAAAATACATAACATAGTAACAAACAAAAACAATACTCCACCCACATACATAGCTTAAAATGCCATATATTCTTTAATTAGCCAAAGGCCTAGGAGAAGATGAAAGTTTTTGCATGGCACCTAAAGATACATAATGAAGGCGCCAGGCAGGCCTCCCTAGGAAGAACATTCCACAAGTAGGGAGCCACCACAGAAAAGGCCTTTTCTCACACTGCCACCCTCAGACCTCTCGAGAAGGAGGCACATAAAGAAGGGCCTCAGATGATGATCACAGGGTTGGGGTCAGTTCATATGGGGAGAGTCAGTTTTTTGAGGTACTGTATTGCAGTCCTGCGGGAGGCAGTGGAAGACAGGAGTGCCTAGCGTGCTCTGGTCCATGGGGTCACGAAGAGTCGAACACGACTAAACGACTAAACAACAACATTGCAGTCCTGAGCCATTTAAGGCTTTATGTGTCAAAACAGGCACTTTGAATTGGACCTAGAACTAAATGGAAGCCAGTGTAATTGAGCCAGGATTGGTGTTATAAGTATGCTCAAACCATCTTAACAATAAAAAGTAGGCTTTGCCAGACATATGGAACAACCTTTCATCAAACAGAGGAGTGGGTAATACCACACGTTTAAAATACCCTTGACAAAAATCCACAGATACTAAGGCATCAAAGTGTGAATCTTGCATAAAACCCAAGAATCAGGCATTGATCACCTAAAGTTTGGGGTGGCGGGTGAAAGAAGACAGATGGCTCACTATCTTGCCTTGGTGTATTGCAGCTGCATAGCAGAAGTGAAGTCTACAGTGATGAAAGCGCCTATTATTTTCACAATTTCCCTCGAGTAAACAGTCAAATTGACAGGCAGGTGCATGGAATATAAAATAATTTATCCACATGGGGTTCCGTGTGGAGTCCCTAAGGCAGCTCACAATCACAAGTTGAAAACATAATTTAATCAACACATAATCATATGAAAAAAACAGGCACAAGTAGAATATAGCTCAGAACAAGAAGGGGGAAAGGCATTAACAGAACTTCAGAAAAGCAATGAGAGGGGGCCAACTGAGCTTCCCAAAAAAAGCCCTGTGGTGCTAACCAAGTTTCCAATGCCAATGGAACACTGAGCATGGTCTCAGACAAAAGACATAGTAGGTGGGCAGACTCTTAGGCCACCAATGGGCAGCAGGCAGCAACTCTTCAGAGGAAGAAAACTGATTGTTCTTGCAAGATCTCTGCCTGAGTTATTGACAGGGATATTTTGCAACAACAGGCGGAAGGGGGATCCTGGGAAGGAAGCAAGGTACAGGTGAGACTGTCAGCCTTATTTGATGACCAGGAGCAGGAAGGATTGGTATGGTTAACACAGGCAAAGGGGCGAATTAGGAAGACCCAAATTCAAATCCTCACTCAGCCATGAAATGGGGGAACTAGGTGCACCACACATAGCTTATTCAGGGAAGCCCAGAATAAATATAAAACAAAATAATTCATTTAAAAACAGAAACAACAATGTAATTGCTCCACAATAATTTGTATTCTTTTGTAATTAGTATAAGCATCAAGCCTGTTGATACTTGTTTTCTTTGTTGTTCTCCTTTAGGTTTGTTTCAGCAGGAGGCTTTTCCCTACTTGTACATACTTTGGGATACCCTGAGTCTGCCAATACTTCCCTCTTGTGTGTAGCTTATCATTTATGGTTTTGGCTACATTAGCACAAGGAGGTAAAGGGTAAAGGTAAAGAGACCCCTGACCATTAGGTCCAGTCGTGGCCGACTCTGGGGTCATCTCGCTTTATTGGCCGAGGGAGCCGGCGTACAGTTTCCGGATCATGTGGCCAGCATGACTAAGCCGCTTCTGGTGAACCAGAGCAGCGCACGGAAATGCCGTTTACCTTCCCACCAGAGCGGTACCTATTTATCTACTTGCACTCTGACGTGCTTTCGAACTGCTAGGTTGGCAGGAGCAGGGACCGAGCAACGGGAGCTCACGCAGTCGCGGGGATTCAAACCGCCGACCTAGGCTCGGGCAAGCCCTAGGCTCTGTGGTTTAACCCACAGCGCCACCCGCGTCCCTAGCACAAGGAGAGGAAGACTCAAATCAGTATTAGGGAATATGACAGAATGCTGAGAGACTGTAATGGAATGTCTGCAATGGAGAAACATAGGAAAAACTCAATTTGCAGTAATCCCACTTACCCCCTCTATGTTAATAGGGTTCCACCTCCTAAGTCAGTTTTGGCTGAACCTATAATGTCATACCTTATTTATACATTTTGTCAACAAATTAATGGAAAGGTTAAATCTGAAGAACTTGCTTTAAAGTAGGTGGCTGCATTAAATGGGGGGGGGGGGGACAAAATGTCACCAAGCAGGGTTTTCCACCTGAACATTTAATAGTTATGAGATGAAATACATAGTTAGCTGGAACAACATGTAAGAACGGCTGTTTCAATAGCATATGCTGTGTCAGCATACATAATTGCTTCTTAGAATAGAAATGGCTTATGTTCAGTTCTAAGTCGTTAGATGTCTTTCTTAACAAGCCATTAGCACAGCAGAGAACTGACAGTCACTCAAAGCTGCAGTCAATGAATTTGCTGATACAACATATTGGGAGTCAATAGCCCATAAAATACCCACATAAAGAAAACATTTTTAAACCATCAGAATTGTAGGTGAAGAACCATACGCAGCAGCCACATCTATGTTAAATTACTGCATTAAAAATCTAGATGATGCTAACACTTAGCATTTATATAGCTCTTTAGAGTTCATTCAGAGTGCTTTATGTACATGTGATCTTAGTAACCCTTACAACAACCCTACCTTACAGGTAGTCACTAATATTACCCTCTTACTGCAGAGCCTAAGAGATAACGGCTTGCCTCAGGGCACCTAGCAAATTCATGACTAGAGTGAAAATTACATAAAGAACTTGGTCTCTCACAATTTACACACTTAAGCCAGTAACTACAAAAGTCATTTTGGCAGCAATCATGGTCTTCTCATTTTCTTTAATAATGTATAAAATACCATTTTCATCACACATTAAAAGTAAAAATGTATGCCACAGTGAGATTTAAACTGTTCACTGAACTCATATACACACACACACACACACACACACACACACACATTTGTTTGTTTTTTTACCTTCTAATGGTTTTCACTATGTGTCACAAATGTTCAGCCTGTGACCATGAGAGAGAAAAACTCTTCCCCTTATGTCATGGAAGCTTTTGTGGGCTATTATTAAAGCTGAATTATTGATTTCATATCCTCCCTTGTCCTACGTAATGACTAAACTCCAGCCAAGTCTGAAGTTAGGAGAAGGAAAAAAGCAACACAACTGTGCATTTAAAAAGAAGAAGAAGAAAATATTGGGAACACAAATTAAGTCTGAAAATTTAAATACCAAATTGATTTACTGAGTCTTCTTTTAAACCCCTTTCCCTGCTTCCCATGAATAGTCAGGCATTCCATTTATGATGCAGGCACAAAACCGATTCCCAAATTCTCTGTTTTCTGTGGCCTCTGTAGCCCAGCCCAATCCCCAAAGAACACAACATATCATGAAGTGTCATTTTTATTAGTGCAGTCCAGGTGACAAAGAGAATTTCTTATCATATCTCACCTTGCAGACAGGGAACGCAAACCTCCTAACATCTCACCCATGTTCAGGCATCAATCAAATATTATCATTTATCATTATTATTGATTATCATCTAATTTTCTTATTATTTGAGTGCTTGTAGTAAATAGATATACAAGCACTTGACACAACTGCCAGATTCAAATGGTAATTATATTTTTTATAATATTAGTACAGGCCTGGAATTGTTGGAGGTGTTTTAGTAGTTCCCCACTTTTATTTAAAATTGCTGGGTTTTTAAAAGGGCCAGATTGATAAGAAGGACAGAACAGTAAATTCTGCTTTGTTATTGCACTCATTACAAAAGTCCAGCTGATGTCAGTGGAACAACCAAATGACAGTGCGCACTTGCCCAGCTATTGATCTGAGGATTTAACATAGCTGCATTTTCCTTGCAAGAAGATATGAGCACAGTAGTTCTCTATAAAGGAAAATAAACACCAGTTTAAAACTCTTGCAAAAGGCAAGTCTAAAACCATCCTGGGGAATCCCCTAGACTCAATGTGCAAGTAATAAGACAACAGTGGAACACTTACTTCCTTGTGTTTCCCATAAACTACGCTCCATCTGCTTATAGCTGCTGTGAGTTAGGAAAAGGGAGCATTCCATACTCTTGGCAGAATATATAAAAAGACCAACTCATCCAGTAGAGAGTATGGAAAATGAATATAGGTGCCAGAGTCATAGTATGCAAAGGGTGATACACACTAGAGGATCAAGCAGGGCTATGGTGACCCATAAAATGAGGTCAGGCAATGCATAGGCATCCATAGGCATCCTGTTGATGAGACATTTAGTGTAGGAAATTTTCAGAGATCAAGGATGATGCCCAAGGAAGCATAGTGAGCATATTCTGGTGTTGTAATAGAGCTCAGGTGGGGAATAACCAGCCTGGGATACAAATGTGGCCCTCTATGGACTTCTGTCTTTCCTGAAGATTCTCCCCAGGCGATACCCACCACTGGTCCTGCTCTGCACCGTCCTCAGGTGCTTTCGCCTGGCTGCAATGTGTTCTTGAACTGTGATAAAAAATACTTCTTGCTTGTTTGAAGAGAGTTGTTGAGGGTGGTGGGTCAGGGTGTAGAAACGCCTGACTTTTGGGTAGCTGTAATATAGCCTACTGGACAAAGGTAAGAGTAGAATCCAGTAGAAGAGTAGAATTGTTGACCCTGGGCCCTGCCCACCACTGGTATGTGGCTGCCCATGAGGCTACCCATGAGGAAATATGGCCCTCAGACCGAAAATGGATCACCACTTCTGTAACAGAGAATGGATCTATAATTAGAAGGCAATCCACAGAAATGTGCACAAAAAAGATATACAATCATGGGGCTAATTATATTAGTCTCTTCTTGTCCCTGAAAACTGATGTTATAGTCAAAGTTCCAGGGCCCATGTTCCAGGGTCTTCCCTCCAGAAAAGGGCTACAGATGGCACAGGTGCTCAGTTAAGCATTTTTGGATGCAGTAGATTAAACTAGTGCCTTGGTAAACTCTGTACGTGCCAGAGGAGGCTGCTACATTGCCAGGCAAGATCTACTTTCTGCTGTGCAGTACTGCAGATCTGCTTTTAAACACTCAATGCATGAGCCAATTCTCTGTTTAAAGGAATGATTCTGGCCTAGTTTGAACAAAAATCTTTTTGAAATCTTATTTAATTAAATAGGTGAAAATCCAGTTAGTGGAGACACCTATTCTCCTTTAAAATCGCCTTAGTTGGCTTAGTTTAATCTGATTCCTTGCCACCTTAAACAAGATTAGAATAAAGCCAATTTAAACACTCCCACACAAACATTTCCCCTAATTCAGTTAAACCTGATTTTTAAGTTTGACCAATTTATAAAACTTACATAACTGTAAATAACCATGGTATTAAGATGGATAGCAACATTTGAAAGATTGTAGATGAACAGTATTTAACAGAATCAAAGGGTGTTGCTGATATGAACAGTCCCGGATAACCAGGGGCAGTAAATAGACCAGGCATAGGCAAACTCGGCCCTCCAGATGTTTTGGGACTACAACTCCCATCATCCCTGACCACTGGTCCTGTTAGCTAAGGATGATGGGAGTTGTAGTCCCAAAACATCTGGAGGGCCAGTCCCTGCACCACTGGTGTCCCCGAATGCACTAGAGGAGTTTTTTTCCATAAATGAATGGTTACCATTAACTTCTAACAAAAAATTAAAGCACTGCATTTGGTGGCACTCTTTGGCTGTAAGGATTTACGTTCTGATATTTAGGTGTGACTATGCTACAACAAATACTAAAACAGCAGATACTGAAGCTGTCTGCTCCAATTCACCATCTCTCTAACCTTCAACTCAAGGGAAAAATCAGTAAGAGTATTTGAAGTCTTTTGTCAGTTCAGAATAAAAAGCCCAACACAAACCTTTTCCTCTTATATAAGCAGACAGATATTGTATCCTGGGGAAACTAATAGTTAAGATGGATAAGAGAGACATACAATATTAACAAGAAGTCATGCAGCACCGTAAACACTAACAAATGAATTGTGGCATAAGCTTTTATGGCAGAGTCTATAGTACTTTGCAGAGCTTTTTCAAATCTTTAATTATGTTTTCATAGGTTGCCATTAGGACGTGGACATCTGATACTTTTATATCAAGTGCAGAAATACATATCGTTAAACCAAATATTATAATCTCAAGAGCACTAAACCTTTAAAATAATATAGGAACAAATGTTTAAGTTTAATAGTCACATGGAAATTCTGTTGGAAATAAGCCTTGAAGGGCTCTCTTGCTCACATTTCTTGGCAAACTCCAACAACAACAACAACAACAACACAAAGAAGGAAACTACACTCTAGGCATTAGGACAGAACTATAAAAGTAAGCATAAAAAAGCGTCCCATAAGAAACAGTAGTGAGTCAGCAAGCAAGTAGAAATTCTCAGCACTAGGTTGGAATCAAAGTGATCTGCACTATGCCACAATGTGGGTGGATTCACATCTACTATTATAGAACGTGAGCTAAACCAGGCATGGAGAACCTCTAGCCAATGGGCATAATTAGACGCAGCACTGGTCCCAGTTTGGTCTGAGAGGCCATTTTCCGAAACCCACACTCTCCTGCCCCACACCTAAGGTCAAATGTGGCATCAGTTGTGGAGCAGGTAGAGATGCTGCTGCCAGTGGGCCCTAAAAGTGCATTCCCAGTTTTCTTTGGTAAGGGAGGCTTGCTTGGGTGGTGAAAGTAATCCCACTGGCTGAGCTACCGAGTTCCCGATACTCTATTGGTACACTACAAGTTCGTATTCATCACCTGTTTATATTCCACTGATATACAAAAAGCTTCATTCCTCTCCTAATATATTCTATGCAACTGTCACCTTTGTTGTTGTTGTTTAGTCGTTTAGTTGTGTCCGACTCTTCGTGACCCCATGGACCAGAGCACGCCAGGCACTCCTGTCTTCCACTGCCTCCTGCAGTTTGGTCAAACTCATTTTAGAAGCTTCGAGAACACTGTCCAACCATCTCGTCTTCTGTCGTCCCCTTCTCCTTGTGCCCTCCATCTTTCCCAGCATCAGGGTCTTTTCCAGGGAGTCTTCTCATGAGGTGGCCAAAGTATTGCAGCCTCAGCTTCAGGATCTGTCCTTCCAGTGAGCACTCAGGGCTGATTTCCTTAAGAATGGATAGGTTTGATCTTCTTGCAGTCCATGGGACTCTCAAGAGTCTCCTCCAGCACCATAATTCAAAAGCATCGATTCTTCGGCAATCAGCCTTCTTTATGGTCCAGCTCTCACTTCCATACATCACTACTGGGAAAACCATAGCTTTAACTATACGGACCTTTGTTGGCAAGGTGATGTCTCTGCTTTTTAGGGTGCTGTCTAGGTTTGTCATTGCTTTTCTCCCAAGAAGCAGAGATGTATAATTCCCCAAGCCAGGTAAGCAAGGCATTGGGTTTTGGGAAGGAGGAATGAGGGCTCTAGAGTCCTCCTGCCTCCTTCTGAAAGCCTAGTTAGCACTTTTCCGAGCTTTGGAAAAGAGGTAGAAGGGCTTAAGGATCCTGCCAGAGCCTCATACCTCCTTCCCAAAGCCCTGTGCCTTGCTTAGCTAGCTTTGCAAAGGCAGTGCAAGGGCTGGGGGGGGCATCAAACTTTGACCTTGCTCCCCCCCATCCCCACATGAAAAGGAAATGTGAAACCTGCGGGTTCTGTGTAAAAGCACTTTTGCTGCCCACTTAGGATGAAAAGTTGGGCCACCCTGAGTTACAATATGGGGAAGGCACATGTCATTCTATCTATGTAATCTCGTGAGCAGTATGCTACTACTAATTCCAATGTGCATTGAAGGAACACAGGAATGTATTTAAGAATAAGAAATGAGAATTCAGCATTCAAAAACTGAATAGGAATTATAACTTTTAAGAAATTAAAAACATTTTTAAAAATGAAAGTCACTTATCCTCAGAGCTAATAATTTCAAGGCTGCCAAGCATATTACTGCAATCAAACGCCTGCATAAACAGGAATGTTTTAAAATTCCTTCTGAAAGTTAATAATGAGTGAGACAGATGCATCTCACCAGGGAGGCATTCCATAAACAGGGAACTATTTCCAGTGACATCATCCAAAGGAATTGGGATCCTTGACATGGCTTAGCTGATAGGCATGAGGGAATCCCTGAATTGTCAACACCGTTCAGAAAGCGGAGTCCTTTCCCTGAATTCCAGCTGACTAGGCAAAGGTGGTAGCAGGACACTAGGAGGCAATATCTGTTGGACCACCTTGCAGCTTTGAATGCCTGCCCAAGATTCTGGGAGATGAACAACAAAAAAGTGTCTCTCAATGTAGCATAAAGCATCTTTCTGATTTTATTCCAAGATAGAATATTTTTTCACAGCACTAATTTACATCCTTGTTTCCATCTTACAATAAACTTTAGAAAAAAACCTAAATGTTAATACATTGTGTATCTTTTTAATGGTTTTCTTTTCCTGTAACAAATATCCAATATCATTACAAAACAACCATTTTCCAATTTCCCCCCTCCCTGTTGACTTCCCTTAGCTTCCATTTCTGATTACATCAAATGATACTTTTTGCTGTTTGTATTGTTATCATATTGTCATACTTCTTGTATATCATATTGTTATACTTCTTGTTCTCTATAAATAAAATTGTAAATGTTTATTTAAATCCTGCCAATGAGTCCATGTTTTGTTTTGTTTTTTTGTTTCTGCAAATATATTGTAAAGGGTTTCTTTTTCAAAATCGCTATTGTCCTTTTCACGTAGTTTATCCATTAACTTTGCTAACTCTAATATATTGTGTATCTTAGGCTTCCTCTTTCTGTTCTAGGTCATGCTATTATTTTCTGTTAGAGGATTCAATATCAGCAACTAGAAAAGGAAGTTTTACAATCTGAAGTCCCACAACCTTCAAAGTAATTAGCTGATAAAAGATTGATTGTCTGCTCTTTTTTTTTTGCAAGGATTCATTTATCCGTTTATATATGCATAGTTCTGTGTGTAAAGTATTAACCCTCATTTATGAATTCAAAAAAAGGAGCTCCTCCTGGTCTTCTGTATCTATTCTGTACTTTGTGTACAGAGATTGAAATGATTTCACTTGTGCATCATGGTTCCACAGCATTAAAACAAGAGTAAACTATTTTCCAAGCCCTAAGTAGGACGTGACTTATACTGTATCTAGCATTCCAACATTCCATGGCCAGTTAGGACATACATTCTCAAGAGCCCAGAAAGTTGCCAACAGCTTTATTTCTATTCACGAGTCATAAGCTCACTTTGGACCATTAAATAACTTCTCCTTTAGAACACAATTTGCTTTGCAATTATTACATCCAAAATGAGAAAACAAATGTAAATTCCTCCAGCATAGGATCCTTACAAAGAGGATCTAGAGGCAACCCTGTATTATGCGGGTGAGGGTTCACCCCTCCCATTACCCTCCAGCCTACTGCAGGTGCCAAAAGCAAACCAAATAAAGTACAGTACCCTTTGGATTTTGCTGCCACATAAGCAGTGCTGCTGTCCAGGCAGGACTTTGGGACAGAAGTGCAGGGTCCCTAAATGCAGCTGGGGCTGGTTTAACACAGTTTGTAACACACACCACTATATAAAGAGGACACCACACCACAAGATCATTAAATCCTGATGCTAAAGTTAGCTAAATGGACATACGCAACATGCAAATTTGTACGTCATGCTCCTGTCGGGAGCTTCCAGAGGCCGTGATGTGGCTACCCGCCATTGGAAACATTATACTAGGGCCTTCCTGCGATCCTCCAAGCAGGGCAACCTTTACAGACATATTTAACCCAGAAATCATTACCAGCCCTTGGTTTTATGGCCACAATTACCTTCTTAACCCCTTGAAACAAAAAGTAAAGGTTTTTCCTTTTAGATAAGCATACTGTCCACCATTCCGAAGACATTTGTGGATTGTTTTTGGTTTTTTTACTCATAGGAAAATCCCTTTAGTTTCTATGGCACCTGCTCTCAGGTTAAGTGGGCTGCAGTCTAGGAGTCCGGGTGCCAACTTGATCAAAATATTGGGGGGGGGGAGTAAGCCCCGCCCGTCACAAAATCGATAATAATTCAGGGTGCACATGTAGCCATTTGAATGGCAATGCCTATCAACTTTTTTTTGACCTCAAATATTTTATGGGGGGGGAGGGAGGTGAAGACACCTCAGCCCTTAGGAGTTAGGACTCCTAGGCTAGGGGTGCTTCTTGCTGTGCCCACTTACCTGGGAACAAGTGCCAACGGAACTCAGTGGGGTCTTACTCCCGAGTAGACATGCCTGAGCTTCAGGAAGGGATGACATGGCTTCCTTTCCCTAGACTTTTAAGTTTGTGTGGGGTCTGGGCGGGAGGGGGGGAGAGAGAAAGCGGGGCCGGGATGGAAAGCTCTAGAAACCCTAAGGGAGGCAAGCAGGCAGGGCAAGGCAGGCTGCCCGGTCTGCAGCAATGACGGGCGACGACGTCTCCCTTACCTGCCACCGGCGCAGCGGCCGCCACAAGGCAAGAGAAGTGGAGCAGCAGCGAGGGAAACTCCGCGCGCATGGAGGGCGGCGAGGCGGAAAGTAAACGCGGGAAGAACGAGGAGGAGGAGGAGGAGGAGGAGGAGGAGAAACAGCAGCAGCAGCAGCCGGGTCTGAAGGCACCGTCTCCCCCTCAGCTACGCCGCCCGCCTACGGCCCGGAGAAATGACAGGCCCAGCCGCCTCTCGGAGAGGCATGACGGGAAATTCCTGGGCACCGGCTGCCCAGGCAACTCCAAATATGAGCATAGAGAGCGCGAGCTGTGGAGAAGCCGGCCGAGGGGGGATAAATAGGGGCTGTGGTTCTCCTGAGGCACCTCGGGGTGAGCTTCACTCCGCCCCCCACCCACCCTCCCGGGGAGGCGAACTCCTGACTCCCCTCAAAATCAAGTCCTCGGGTGATGATGGGTCCCTATGGCTCTGCTTCCAGCTGGAATTTGGCCGTGTGCCTTTTCAGAGCTCTGCTGCAAGCACGGCGTTTTATTTGACTGGCTTTTTTTCCCCCTTCCCTCCTCCAGCCAGCTTCTCCCAAGTCCAAAAACAAGTAAGACAGGCTTGCAGAGAGATCTGTAAAGAAAGCGATCCTCATCCCCACGCTCCTAGGATCGCAGCCTAAAAGACAGATGCAAAAGGAGGAGCGGGGGCGTGGAAGCAAACTCAGGCACTAGCTACATTAACCTTTCCATTTGCATTTCTTCAGCATCTACTATGAGGCATAAGCTGGGTAGGTCAGACTTTTTTTAAATACGAGTGCTCTTCATAGAGCTATTTAGAAAAAGACCAGAACATGATAAAAGTTTAATACAGATAAGCATCCCACCCATACCCAGGATGGAAAGAAGTCATCAGACCTCTTGCCTTGTTAGGTCCAAGTAAGTATTTTGGGGCGGGGGAGGTTTTGTTTTTGTTTTTTTAAAAAAGCAAGCTTGAAGCCTACAAAATCCATGGCAGAGCTGCATAGTGGTGCAGCAAAAAGATCAGAATTCAGTAGTTCTCAAACTTGGATCACTAGCCGTTAAGACTACAACTCCCATCATCCATAGCCAGGGCGACCCATGGCCAGGCATGATGGGACTTGCAGTCCAACAGCTGGGGACCCAAGTCTAAGGTTGGTCGGTATTTACTATTGGTCGGTATTTTCTACACTGACTGGTAGTACTTCTCCAGGGTTTTAGACATGGGTCTCTGCCAGCACTACCTGGAGATGTTGGGGATTGAATGCGGGACCTTTTGCACACCTTAGAGCTACAGCCCCACCCACTTTGAGGGATAATTCCTAAGGAGGTTTCAAGAAGGCACAATAAAAAGGTTTTAAAGGGCAGAACTGGATTAGTCTGCAGCTTATTAAAATAGGAACTTCCAGCTTCCTTCAGGGACATGAGCTTCTAGAGAGTCTACTCCCTCAGATGCTGAAATGACTTAAAACAAAAGCATCAACATAAACAAATGCGTTGTTTCCCCTCTCATAAAACCTGGTGAAAGAAATAAAGAAGTACTACTTTAAAAGATTTCACAAAGGCACATAAATCAAAGGGCTCACTGCTGTTCAGCTTTGGCACATTTGGCAGACTGAATCATAAGGCTAGAAAAAGCTCACATTAAAAACACTGCTTTTAAAAGAAAAGACCACCGCCAAGAGACACTGGGAGCATGAACTCCCAGCAGCAGTACACCAAGGTCTCTGAATGGCAGTAGGTATGTACTCTGTTTTCCAGGTTCACCCAACAGTTTTCATAAAGACAACTGATAAAAGCAGGAAGTTTGGGGTCTTTATTGAAGAATCTTTAAAATAACGAATGCCTTTTGTGATGTTCCTATACTTTCTCCATTTTGTTTCTTGTAAACAGGGAGTTGAGCATCTTCTAAAGTTGTCTTTTCCACTCACTATACAAAGAAGGTTTAAATGAATGGCTGAAACCAAACAGGTTCTCTTGCAATTACATTTTTGTATATAGTAGTTATCTCACCACCTTCTATAAGCACACATATTTATGGAATTCTGATGGCAAGCCACATAATGTACCAATGGTATCTAACTTGGAGTTGGTGTCAAACTAAGGCTCTCCATTTTTCAGTACTTTTAGCAGAAACTGACAGCATGAAAAACACTGTTTATGTGCAATGTGGTATAGTGTGGCTCTTTGTGCTGCAGTGTATATTGAACCTTCTTCCATGCCTTCTTCCACCCCCAAAAAAGAAGTATACAAGAGCTGTCATAAGCCCCAGAATGTCACAAAAACTGACACGTGTGTAAAAAGCCCTAATAAATCTTTAATTAGTTTAGTTTTGCTTTTGTGTTTTTACAGGACAAATTACAAATTACAAACATCTGATTTTTCTCAAATGTCCAAGGTATTATACACATTCCCATCTGTCTTGCAGGGAGGAACATTGGTCAACATTTTAAAGGTAAAATAAGCTGCATAATAGTACAGATTACTATAATAAATGTACAGTGTGTTTACAAATAGTTTAGAAGCAAGAACGATGCGACTGCATCAAAAGGCAACCTTTTAAACTGCCACAACTAAATTTTACATTCACACTTGCAACAGGTCACAAGATGGTTACTCAGCTCAATAAATCACTATGATGCACAAATACAGCAAAATCTGATTATATACATATAATACATATACATATATATTGTACATATTTGTATATGTATATAGTAAATCTCATGAAAAATTTACCAGACTTGACAAAAATCTACTCGCTGGTCAAAAATATGTACTTGTTCTTGGTGAGTAGAATTTTGCATGGCTGATTATATTACATATACTTGTTCATTAGCATCCAGGACATAGACCAAGTTTTTTTCAAAGATAAGAAACCGTCCATCATTATTAAACATGTTGCCCACAAAAAAGCACAAAGGTAAGGCACAATAGGATTTTCTGTTACAGAAGTGTGCATCATGTTCACTTAACCATAAGAAAACGTGCATTTGTGCAAGTTCATGCTGCAGATCCATATCTACAATAGAAACTGGGCTTTAATAAATGTATTTTAAACTGGCTGGTTTCCCATCTCTTCACTTATGCAATATCCAGGTGGATTGACAAATTATGCTGCTTCAACAGGAATTACTGAATCCAATTATTTGATATTTTCAACTAAAGGTCAACATTTTTGTAGTTTTAGGTGTAAACAATGCACACATTTAATATTGAACATAAATTCTTGCTGTAAGTGTTCTGCACTTCTAAGCTCTAACAATCAAGATTTTTGTTTCCAAAAATATGTGCATCTGTTTAATTTCACACATGCCTAGGTAGCAAAACCATATAGGAAAGTATATTCCCCAGTGGTCAATTTTGTCAGAGCTTCTCCTCGTAATAAATAACAGCTTTTCACAAAGTGTTTGAGTACCTGCCAATTGCGTCTTTATTGCTCACATAATTTTGAATCCATTATCACAGTTACAATATCAGACCATTCACACAAAAATCATAACCATATATTTTAATATAAAACCTATAAAAGATATTTAACTTGTATCTAATACTTCAAGGTGTTTGGCCTTTATGTAATGGTACAGCCAAAACATAGAAAACATTAGGTTATGAATAAAATAGGAAGCTTATTCACTGCTTTAATGCAGACATCCTCACAAAACAAGATTACTTTTGCTGCCTCCACCACCAGCATCTACATTTATATACAAAACCAGTAAACCTGTATTCAGTTTGTTTTCTCTGAGCAATTACCAAGACATAATTCCTTTCTCATCCTTAGGCAGACACGGATGAAGCTTTTACAGCAACAGAAGCCAAAAACCAGACAGAAACTAACACTTCTACTTACTTGCCATCAGAAACTGTAGGTGGTTGTGTTACAAAATACCCACAAGATTATTTCACAGGAACTATGGAAATACAGTACATCTCCATGCTTTTAGACTGTTATCAAACACTTGTTGGTGCAAAAATACAGCCACATCTGAGAATGTTTAATAAATTCAACATCTGTCATGCAAAACTTAATGTGTTTGTTTGCTTGAGCTCCAAAACACTTCATAGAGCAATTGTTCAGTATTACTGCCTCATTGCTCAGAAATCCTGAAAAATGAGACCTCTGGAACATTGATTAATGAAAATGTTACATACAAAAAGTACTAAAAGTGGAAGACGGGACCAGACAGGAATTTTTCCTGCTGCAAGTCAACAGTTCTGGTAGCAGTAAGATGTCTCAGGAGTTTCCCTGAGAGTTAGTTGTGCCTGTTCGGAGACGAAGATGTGACATTGAGTTCATGCGTGTATTTGATGGCTTCAATGGAGCATTGCAAGTAATAGCCTGGGGAAAACGATGATGATATCGATCTAGCCGTAAATATTTTACAGTTACCAGTTTCCCTATAGTAAAGAAAGTTCAGAATGTTAAGATTTTGAATTTTTATATGATTTGCGCATATAACTGAGATGAATACTTTGACATGCAATACTTTTATCTAGAAGCTAGTCACTCTTGCTGTTGAGACTGATGTATAGCCAACTACAACTTGCTAAATTAATTGTAAATCAGAACAACTTACCATCAAACCAAGATCCATGTAATGCTTTAAAAGCCTTTCCAGCATATTCTGGAGATAAACATTTGACATATACACAACCCTGAGGAGAGAAATAAAGCTTTGATTTGTATCAAATAGAGAAACTGAGTATACTAACTATCGACTTTCAATCATTTTTTTTACCTCACGTGAATTTTTGTCTACTGCTATGTGGACAATTCCCTCATTATCACTGCATTTTTCCAAGATCGCTTCTTGAATTGCCAAATGCCAGTGGTCACCTATTTCCCTAAAATACACACACATAAAACAAAACTTGCACATCATTATTAGTATTTTGTTTTTTGTTAAAAAAAATAACGATACAAACTTATTAGGAAACACAGAAATAAACATTTTCTCTAGATCGAGATGGTTAACCTGTGGACATTTAAAGGTTGTTGGAGTCCCATTCCCATGAACGCTAGCAAGCATCACATAAGTGGTTAGGGATTATGGGAATTATTGTCCAACAAGGATCAAAATATTCCCCACCCCTGGTTTAGCAATCCATGCAAATATGGCCTATAGGTCTACAAGTACTGACTTCCTTGGAACAGAACTTCTCTGAAATGAATATGCATTAAAAATATAAGGTTATGAATAGTGGAAGAGTCAGAGTAAAAGGCTGATTCTCAACAAAGAGAAAGCCCTAGTTGCTTGGGTCATCACATGAAGTTAAAAATGAAAACAGTATTCAGGCAATTTGTTCTTATGTCTCCCTCTCCAGCTGCCCAGTGTCATTATACCAGCTAAGACAGTAATAATGAATTTGTATTCCTTCTGCATCTGTACTGTCAAGACAAAACATAAACTCAATGTTTTCTATTCGCAGTGAATTAAAAAAAGTACTTACATGACAGGATCAAACATATTGCGGATTTTTAGGCATGGTGTCAAACTATTTGGTGGTGAATTTCTTCTATCTAAATGGAACGCTGCCAAGGGGGAAAAAGTTCAATCAACAAATAGGATTTGATTCTAGTCCACTTATTTCAAATATTAATCAGTTTCCTGTAGATTACACAAGTTATAAAAGCATACATGTGTGTGCATTATGTGTGGGGTCAACTACTAGCTTTCATGGTAGGAATCTGATAAACTAACTTTTAGAGCACATGAGACAAAAAGATTTCAAAAGCCAAGGAACAGCCCTGAGGGATAAGAGTTCACTTTTTATAACTGTACAAGTCGCTTGTATTAGAAAGAACGTACATAGCTATAGATGTTGCAAGAAGAAATGATAAAGAAATTCTGTTTAAAGCACAATTTTCTGACTACAATTAAGTTGTATTAAACTTAGTTTAATATGGTAACAGACCTCAGCTAGAGTAAATGCAGACTGAAGGGATGTATAAATAAACAGTTACATACCTTGCCCTTGCCATACTTTAGATGGTATAACTAATATTTTATCACATGGTGCAGATGGCTGTATCCATCTCCAAACCAGGAAGTCAGCACCACCTATTCTTCGTGTTTCTGTGCGAACTCTAGATTCATTAGCAGCAAGGAAATCAACAGATCGGTTCCATACTTTTTTCATTTTTTTCCTATATTTAAAAACAAACCCAAAAAAAGTTTTCAAAAGTTACGAAAGCAAAGTTACTTATTAGTGTGGTGTACATCTCCCACTGAAGGCAAAACAGAACATGCATCAGTATAAACTGACTATAATGTAACTATAATGTAACTTGTACATGCCTGTTTTGAGGAGGAATCAAGGAATCTCGTACATGTGGAATAGGCATATATGGCTGCAAGTCTTTGTTTTCCTGGCATGCTTCATTGTGGCTTCTTAAAACATCTGAAATAATTGCACCAAGTTAACAATACTGTAAAATCTGAACTGGAATCCATCACATTTACAAATTATAGTATTTAAAGAAAAAATGTTTCAAGATACTGCCCCTCTTACATTTAAGATATATATCAGAAGACAGCATAATCAGCTATTCAAAGATCTTCCAGCATGAAATACTCTCCATTTTCCATCCTTGAATATCATTTAATTTCTCAATACAGTACACAAAACTGAAAATGACGCAGATTCACTTGAAAGGGTCATCTGGAGAGACGCTGACTTCATTCACATGTAATGCTAGACTATGGATTAGCATTATGAACACAAGCCTACACTTCATCAGCTCCTTGCTTCCCTCTACTCCATCTCAAAGAGAAAATCAGAAGCTTTCACTTCGATTTTTAACTAACAGCATTTTACCAGGATTTCTGAACCCAGGCAAATGGTAGTTAGTCTTAACTATGGTATAATGAAAAAGCTAACTTCAACCCTGCTTTTTAATGGAGTTGGCCTGCTTCAGGGAACTGGGTGTTGAGATTCCTGCATTACAGGGGGTTAGACTAGATGACTTTCACGGTCCCTTCCAACTCTACAAATTCGATGATTCTATTATTCTATTCCCCACACCATAGTTAAGCTAACCACTGCTTAGGGTTCAGAAGTAAAATTTAACTGCAGTTTACCGAAAATGAAAGCAAGAGTTTCTTGTCTGCTTGCAGCTGAACTGGAGAAAGGAGAATGAGAGAGAGTCTGTGGCTCACATTCATTCACACACCCACACCCAAAGTTTAGTATTGTGTTTGAGTCCAGCCACTGCGAAATTTAGCTAAAACTTACCTATAATTTTTACAACCATATCATACATCTGTCTGGTCTCTTCCTCTTCCTTAGACCATCGGTATTTCATATACCTTAAGACTCCCCAAGCCATTCCTATACCTGTGCCAAACAGAAAGATTTTCTTAGCTAAATAATCCAAATTTTATTTAAAAAATCACTGGCTGTCATTATGCAGTCGACATATTTTACACAAAACTAACATTTTAAAGGTATTTAAGGAGGAACATCATTCATCTACTACTTCCATCTACTCCTTAGTATCTTTTATGAAGAATATTTTTACCCGGGGCAGGTAACCTGTGGCCTTCCAGATGTTGCTGGACTAGAACTCCCATCATCCTCAGTACTGTCAATTACCAGGGACAATGGAAGCTGCAATCCAGCAATGTCTGGAGGTTTCCCACCTCTGCTTTATACTAAATGTTGATGAATAATTTTTACTAAACTATAGGAACAGTAACAATTTTTTATACAAGGTGAGAATGCCTGTAGAGTTTTTAGTGCTTCTTTCTTGAGAAAGGGACAGACTTTGCTAAGATCTCATTGTAAGTGAAGAGAAGATAAAGACTGTTTCTTGCACTACAGAATTTTGATGTTGCCAACATGTCCTGCCTACACATTTTTTTTAGAAAGTGGTTGCCTATTTTCTCCTCTTTCCCATAGCCTAATCTACTATGAAGTAGATTACAAAATCTTAAGCACTTGTCTGGTAACATCATTCTCGCAGTTTCCCTAGAGAAATACAAGTATTAAAATAAACTGACAGGGGGAAAAACTCACCCAAAAGCAGAATTAACGATTTACATGTTACAGTAATAAATGCACGGCGAAAACGACACGTAAAAGACATCTGTGGCCTAGTTGATACCAGGTATTTTACATTAGTTGTATTGGTTATGGAATCCTCATCAGAGCTGTTGTCAACAAACCTATTTAAAAAGAGATATTATGACAGCTATGGCTTAGACATGAATGAGTCACAAATGCACACATGCCTCCTTTCTTCTGTGGTTTCCCCTCCATTTCTTGTTTTATACTAAGTATACATTGTTGTAACAACCAAATCAGCAACCTATGCTTATCATTCATCCCCACCCTCACCCAATCAGAAACCTCATTATTCTGCTTTGGAGGGCAAGTGCACCAATTTTTGAGGGGAGGCAGGGAGCAATATGGATCCTGCGTTTGTTCATAATAAAGGTAAAGGGACCCCTGACCATTAGGTCCAGTCGTGACTGACTCTGGGGTTGCGCACTCATCTCACTCTATAGGCCGCGGGAGCCGGTGTTTGTCCGCAGACAGCTTCCGGGTCATGTGGCCAGCATGACAGCCGCTTCTGGCAAACCAGAGCAGTGCACAGAAACACCGTTTACCTTCCCACCGGAGCAGTACCTATTTATCTACTTGCACTTTGACGTGCTTTCGAACTGCTAGATTGGCAGGAGCAGGGACCGAGCAACGGGAGCTCACCCCGTCGCGGGTCTTCGAACTGCCGACCTTCTGATTGGCAAGTCCTAGGCTCTGTGGTTTAACCCACACCGCCACCCGCGTCCCTTGTTCATAATACCAAACCATTATTTAAAAAGTTGCCTGAACTAGGCTTCCGTGTGAAAGCAGACTACAAAATAAAATGACTTACTTTATGCCAACATCTTCTCCACTATTTAGAATCCATTGCAGGGATTCATTAGATACACCTTCGTATTCTGGACCTAAACTCTAAAGAGAAACAAAAAACAACAAAGCAAAAGGTTCAATGGCAGGAGTTGTTGCACGAGAAATTCCAAAAATAAATGCTACAAAAATGTGACAATATCATCCAAAGCATTTTTATGTAATAAAAAGGAACACCACCACCACCACATTTTTATATATAAATTCTTCCTCAACCATCAATTCCTTCCTCAACATCTGGAACATGCAAAGCCAACCACATTTTATTCAGCTTGGTTTATCAATATTAAATTCTGTGGTTTATAGTCAGAACTTGTCTATCAAGTGCAGGAAAATTAAATGAAGTATTTGCTTGCACCACCCTTTCAAACCCCAGCAATAGCATCCAATACACTATGACAATTTTACCAGGCCGCTGTCTGATGCAGCTGGAGATGCAGCCATGCCCTCACTTTTGAACAAATTTTTGACATTCGTCAAGCAACCAGACTTTGACTCTAAATGTGCTTTCTCCCTGCCCTTTCCATTCCCTTGCCTTACTGATAGGATCAAAAGCCATTCTGCCTATTTTGATTCTGTGTTTAGCATTGAGTAATATTTAAATGCTAATAATAGCTGTGCAATAAAATGCAACCGTATTTCCTGGCTTTTTTACCAAATCAACTACATCAATGAATCAACACGGTAGTCACAAATGGCAGCAGCCATGAGTATTTCACAAAGAGGAACAGAAAAACTAATAGCAGAATAAAATGTAGTAAACAGATTATTTTACATTGTAGTACAAGGATACAAAGCTATAAAATGTCTAGACTGGTAACAGTTTAGCATCTAGAGATCTTTTACAAATATATGCATTTTAAAAGTAATACTAGTGCTCTGCTAATTTCTGTGAAGTTTGATTTTTTTGCTATAATTTTTTTCCGGTGGATGCAAAATACCGTTTAAAAAACCATTCCTTTGCACCTTTGAACACATATTTGTGCCTGGTTGCAACCAATGCTCTTCCAATCTGCTACTACTTGGGGAGAGAAACAGGAAAATTGCCCCAGTTCTCAACACAATCAGATCATTTGCACTGGGATGTGCTGCTTGCAAGTCTACATGTACAAACTACTGAAAGTATTACAGTGCATTAGAATGACAATGCATTTACCCATTTTTAATCTTCGAAGTATTAAATCCATTTTCAAGCATGTTAGAACACACAAATGCCATACTCTGTGTTTGAACTATTCAATGGAAATTAGTTCTATTACTTTTGTTAAAAAAAAAAATGTACCCTGCTCTATACTTTAATTGCTAGTTTAATTGCTTACTTCCCGTTCCGTGAATGCAAATCAATATTGCCCCTTTCCTATGAAAAATGAGACTATACATATAATGTAAGGCTTTTTAAAGTCATATATTTATTGTTTAATTAACTGCGTTTATGCTGTTTTTCTGCCCGAGAACCCAATGCAGTTTACAACTTTAAAACACTAAAACACATGAACGGTATAAAATATAGAGCAACAGAGACCTCCCAGGCCAACTGACAGTATCTTCAGAGTTGGTGGCACAAGCTCCCTGGCCTTAGCTTCCTTATTTCTGAATTTCCTCAAAACACACAGGTCTTAAAATAGCCCCAGACTGCATATTATACACCAACCAACAGTGATACAGTGCATATTTCAATGGAAAAATGTATTGTATCAACACTGTAGGGCCAAAGAGAATTTAGCTTAGAACTATTCTTGTTGCTAGTAAATGTCTAATAAGGCAACACAGGACCGAGATGTTGCTATGCTATTGAAATAAGCTGATAATCAACAATGCAAATCCCTGTACTCAGAGTAGAAGAATTTAGTTAATAAGTAGCTATGCAGGAATTTGGACAAAAAAATCTGGCAGAACCAGTTTTTATGAAGTTAATTAACTGGGGGGGGGGGGAGTATCTATGGTTGTCAGTCTCTCTCTACCACATCAACATTCCTCCCGGGCTATTGAATACAACAGCTAAATATTTATATAACAAACTGCAGAAAATGACATTCACATACTTATGTATGAGCAACAAAATTCAACACTTATGTTTCTACTAGCAATATTGCCATGTTCATGCGGATCGGATTAGGCCCAAAGCCTTCGTATTGTCCAGAGCTAGAGAAAGTCAAACTATCATGCTTCTCAACTGAAAAAAATTCTCCTTTGTAGAAGATTGGCAACTCCTAAAGGACTTCCTTCATGACACAGGTACACACAGATGAGCAAAAAGAACAAGCAGTATATGAAGAAATATGACAGAAGAATCTTCCCCACAACATACCTACTCCAAATTTAAAATCTGTGAGCTCAGTGCTACTCTTTGCTCATGACTACTCTCCGGTAGCCTGTAAAACTTGTATTCAAGTGTCGTACCTTCAATATTCTCTCCCCAGAACAGCAGGGTATGGTACTTAAGTTTTTTGCCTAATCAGAGGCAACTGAGTAGAGTGCACTTCCTTCCTTGGTGCCATACAATATTAAGTAAAAACTTAGAGGTGTCAGCTGAACCACAGTAATTCACCCCAAAGCAGAGAAACAACAGTCTGCTGAAAAATGTATGTAAACCCTCATCAGGTAATGAAGAGAAACCAATAGTGCTTGGGGCTTGATCCCTCTATTCTAAAGACCAAAACACTCAAGGTTTGGCTACATGGCTCTCAACTGAAAACACACAAGCATGTAAACATTTCAATTTGATGCTTATGGTCTCCTACAATCCTCCAAGTGAGGATTTCTCCTATTCTTAGAGAGCTTTCTGATCAATAGTGGAGCAGGTAAGGACCGTTAAATGTATTTTAAATATATAGGTTATAATGAGTAATTTGACCAACAAGAACAGAATCCTGCTTTTTTAAAAAAACACCAAAAACCCACATTTTCCCACTCAATATTTTTTTGCTATTAAATCACACATGCTAAGAAACCTACCACTGCTTCTTTCAAAATTATGTGTGCCTTAATAGACTATGAAGCTTCTGTTTTGCTGACAAAAATAAGTTTTAAGAGGAATAACTGAACACAAAGCTAAGTCAATGTAACATTCATACCAAGTTAATTGCAATATTTAAAATAATGAGCATTTACTTACTTTTAAATATGTATCTGCCTCCTGGAGAGAAAGACCTTTCTTGATAGAGTTGCCACATTCATGATCTCCTAGTACAATGAAAAGTATTTTTATGTATTTCTCACAGTTATGTGACTAAATAAACTTTGGATATATTAATACTAACTTCGGAGACATGAGGGAAAATGTTGTAAGTTATTTTTGATATTGTTTTGATAGAAAAGTATCCTATAAGATAAATAGTATATAAATCTCTAGATGACTCTACTAACAGTTGACAGTACAATCTTATACATGTATACACAGAAGTAGAGTCCTTTTTCTTCACTAGAGCTTATTCTCAAGATTAACTTAAGTGTCAAATTCTATTCAGGTATGGAATAAAGTCTAATAATCTTTAAGTTCAATGATATTGTGTACTTCAACGATTACAGTATATACACTTCTAAAATTTCTCAGACTTAAAATAGGTTTTCTGTACAGTTCCTATTGATACACATATTGCAAAGGTACTCTCTTAAATATTTTCAATCTTGTATTTTTAAGTTGTTGTAAAGGCTCTCCCCTGGACCTCATGGTGAAAGACAGGTAAGAAACTGAATACCACTATGCTGACTTTTATTTATTAACTTTATTTCTGACGAAAAATCAAAACCAAATGCAAGATGGATTTAAGTGAAGTAGTCTCTCATAGATAATCTTCTACCATTTGAAGACCTTGGGGGACTGATGCAAATAATCCAAAGTTTTGCTAATCTAAAGACTCCTCCTTTCTGTTCTTTGCCTCCTAAGTCACTTATGTGTTCCAGTTAGAGCCTGACACAAAACTGGAAAACTGCTCATTTTTATATTTCCAAAAACAAGGGTAACATCCATTCCTGCTTTTTAGCCCCAACAGTAATGAATGCAACCCGCAATCTGTCTTGAACCTTGGGGAACTCCTGTATTCCAGCTCAGGATTGCTATGAACTGCAGACTTCAGAAAAAACACCACTCCCTGCTTTTTCTTGCCTCCCCCGAACCTCACTTACTCCACCCTGCCCTGTCAAATTTTGTTTTAATGTCTGCCTGATGAAGAGTTCTGGACAGCTTGAAAGTTGGCTCACTATTTCATATTGTTTTAGCTGGTCCCAATAAACGTACTTACCTTTTACATTTTCCCCTAATGGGCCAACACAGCTTTTTCTATGTTTTTTTCTGAGGGAATTAGTTACCCCTGCTGATTAATGCAATATTTAAGTTCTTGTTTTAAAATCTCTCTTGTTTTATAAGCCTATTTCAACAGTCGAGACAAGGTATTTTACCATAATATCTGTGATATTAGCACTGATTCAATACAAGAATTATTGTATCCATACGAATGAAATTATTCTTATACCTGCAATCACAAAGCACCTTCACAATTTGCTTATTGCTATAAATCTTTACACATGCATTCTTTTGAAATCCAACAGTTTAATATTGGTTTTAAATGCTCACCTGCTATTTGTGCCAGCTTATCATGTAGTTTATATAAGCTGTTCATAAGAATTGTTTCATTTACCTAGAAATTTAATAAGCCAGTTAAGAAGTGTTATAATAAAGTCTGAAATAATGGAAATAACATATATCCTAGATAGGATTACACAGAGATGTACAATTTCCCAAAACATTTTTGAAGCGGTGGGGGCAAAATTGTTTCCCCCCCCCCATTTTGGGAAAAATGAAAATATATTGAATAGATACATTCTTATCAAACAAAACTTACTTTGCTGCTTTAATATAATATCTGTTATGTTGCTATGTTGCTATTTATATGCCGCCGTTCAGCCAAAAAGGCTTCCATGGTGTCTCAAGAATAAGCAGATAAATACAAATACAATAACACAAATACAAAATTATAGAAATACAAACAATATAAATGATACATTTTTGTATGTAACACGTTGCTATATGAAACATGGCTTCATTTTCTACAAGCAAAGCGGTAAGTATGCTAAATATGACATACTTATGAAATTCATAGAGCAATCCTATATAAGTTTACAAAATGGTAAGCATGCTAAATACTACAGAGTTGCAAATGGTTGCATCCTGTGCTATCTAAGCACATTATCTTATTTTTTCCTACTTCTGAGATGCACAAACTAAGAAAGCTGCAGGAAACAAAAGCAATGTATGTTCTTCATGGAGATGGCAGCATGCCCTAGGAGCAGAAATGCATCTTTGATCCAAGCATTGTATATTTCTGCATTGTTATAGATAGAAATTATCAGTTTCTAAAGCTTCAGAATGCCTTTAATAGAAATTTTCACACTAAACATTCCAAATTTCACTCATTCCAAAAGAGAAACTGTTTCATAGGAGTGTGTGTTCTCTTCAAAATTGGGAGAAATATATGTTTTTGCCCCCTGGGCTTTCACATCTTTAGTGCCACAGACTTAAAAGTATACCATCCTAAATTCTGAGAAACATCACTCAACAGCAAGGAAACCCAGGGGCTGGGAGAGGCACAATGCTCTAATTAAAAGGAATGAACAATTTACTTTCCCATGAGTCTCTCTCTCTCTCTCTCTCTCTCTCTCTCTCTCTCAGCTGCCACTATTCCAATACTGGCTCAAAGAAGAGTGTAGTTATATGAAATGCTGTGTTACGTTTGGATGGTAGTTTGTCATATAGGGACTGATCTACCTTGCCAAAAATTGTGAGGCTACTGCATTCTGAAAGCAAAGCAATACAAGGAACTGAGTGCCCTCACTTCTAGGTGAGTGGTTGGAAATGATAAGGCCATCAGAGTAAATGGTTTCAGAACCTAATGTGCTTAAGCTAGCAAAACAGGATTCCCCCTAATTCAACTATTTTTTTCTGCAGTGTAGGGTTTGTGTACAAGTCATTCAAACACAGCCTTATAATCAAGAGGCCTACAAACTGGACTTCTCATAGTTGGCAACAATTCTTAGGACACAAATTCTTAGTAAAATGGAGATCTAGCTTGCAGACACAAAACTCTTGCATTAAGATTATCCAAGATTTAAGGTTGTCAATAACCTATTTAATCAAAATTATCAGGACATGATACAGCTCAAAGACAAGCCCTCAACATAGATACTAAGAACATACTCACGTTTCTATTAACCATCCCAGTGAGAAGATTTTTATCTATTAAAGGGGGGAAAAAGAAATTTACTTAATACCATTTCAATACCAATATCTTAAATGTTGCAAAAATTAAAACCACTAGGTTAAATGCAGCTTACATTATTATACATATTACAAAGGAATCCAGTAATTACAATGTGACAACTAGCACAATATCATGCATGTCACAATATTTTGTGTATTACAGTGTTACTACACCTAGAAGCAAGTGGGGAAGTTGTTCACCTGACTTGCTTGGCTAGCATAGCATGTCACTGCTGAAAGCATGAACTTGCTCCTAAACAGCTAAAATGCAGAATTTGAGCAGGCTATCAACAACTTAGTAGATTTTAGTTGGATACAGAGTGGCTGTTCCACAAATGGAAACAGTTATTCTGCTTATGGAAGGCACAGAGATTCAGCAGAGACTTCCTGTTCTAGGAAGAGGGCAAGAAGACAATATTCACAGATGCCCACTTCCTCAATGCTACCCATCATGCTACCTTCAAAGGGTTCCCCAACCTGTCAGATGAGAGTTTTAGGAGGAGCAGGGGGCTGCAGGAAGAGGGGGAATTGGCAAAAAAGGTCTCACCACCACCACTTCTACAGCAGAGCTCTACTAAGCACAATTCAGCAGCCAGCCCAATTTGTTTGGTATCCTCAAACAGTAATTGAAGACTTAAGTATTGTCAAAAGAAACAGAACAGTTCTTGCTGACTACACTGATAGTGCTCATAAAGTCAAGCATTTACATTTGAGAAGAAAGTAGAAAAACTTATCCAACGTTATGTTTAGGTGTACACGTAAGATATTTTAAGCATGTCATGGAATGGTTTCAGTGTCAGACCAGGACCAATGAGACCCAGGTTAGAATTCCCAATGAGCCATGAAATTCACTGAGATGGTTGTTCTTCTCAGCATAACCTACTGCATAAGGATGTTGTGAGGATAATATAGCAGGTGAAGAAATTGTGTATATGAGATTCAGCTGCTGCAAAATGCTGCAACCATCATTAGAAATTCGCCACTCCCTATGCACTTTTTGCACCTGGCTATTGGCCACATGAAAGCAAGTGAAGATGTCCGGACACCAGGATGGCGCCTGATGTCTCCACTATCTGGAGGTGCATTCCTGGAAATCCTTAAATCCTGCCTGTTTTCACACACTAACAACACATCCTTTAAAATTTTATCTGCACAATTAGAATGAATTTCAGGAACCAAAAAGTCATATTGAAAAATACGACATCTGGCCCCAAAATGGCAATGAGACATTCCAGTTTGGTGACTGTAACCCTGGCTTAAGGAGCCATTTGGTGCCTATCTTATATATCTGAGTTTCTAACACTGGCTACAACCAGGTTACGGTATGAAACCAGTTTGAGAGAGCATTTGACACACACACCCCTGCACTAAGTTCACCAGCTATTGGTTCATTTCAGGCACAATTCCAACTATTGGTATGGCCAACTGTTCTCTGACCAGGTTGTGGAAAAGCCTGCCCAGCTTTTAAGTAGAGCTGGACAGAAATCCCTACCACCACCACCGTTGCTGAATTTTTCTTCCCAGCCTGGGACTAGGGGAGCTTTCAGGGATATGCCTTCCTTTTATTAGAGTGGCAGCCTGCAGATAGGGAATGGCTTGTTTTGATTTCTTGTCAGCCACTCTGGGACCCTTTTTGACTGAAGAGTGGGGTACAAATGCTATACAGTGGTACCTCGGGTTAAGTATTTAATTCGTTCTGGAGGTCCGTTCTTAACCTGAAACTGTTCTTAACCTGAGGTACCACTTTAGCTAATGGGGCCTCCTGCTGCCGCCGCGCCGCCGGAGCATGATTTCTGTTCTCATCCTGAAGCAAAGTTCTTAACCCGAGGTACTATTTCTGGGTTAGCGGAGTCTGTAACCTGAAGCGTCTGTAACCTGAAGCGTATGTAATTCGAGGTACCACTGTAAATAAATAAATATACACCCACTCAACCACTTCAAACAGCGGAACCAGCACTGTTACAGGTGCACATAATACCCTTTCTGCATTTGTAAGAACTTGATCTTTTATAGTGTCAGCACCTACACTTTGAAACTCCCTGCCTATGGATATCTGGCAGATGCCATGTGAATTTACTGTACTCTTTTCAGTGCCCGCTGGAAACATTTGCTTGCCCAGATACTTAGAAAGTTGGTGCAAGTTTTATTATGCTTTATTATCTTAACTTTTGAAAGTCTTAAATTGTTGTTAATTCCTCTTATTGATAATCCTACTGGTTTAACTTTTTTGTGAACCAGTTTGAGGGTGTGTGTGTTTTTTTACAATCAAGCAGTGCATAGATTTTATGAAATAAAATAACAAATATAATTGGGGGGAACAAAGCTTATTTGACTTTGAGGTAAGTGAGGGAAGCAGTTAGTCAACTTGCAGTTACAAGGTAGTTGGCTTTTAAAAAGAAAAAGTTTATGCCTGGGGCAGCCATTTTTTTCCCCTGTACCAAGTCCCTGAAAACAAGATTACATCACATAGCTTCCTGCTCAAGAACATTCCAGCCCTATTTTGAAAGCCTGCAGTGGCAGTCAGGTTTCTAACCACTCACAGAAACTTTTACCTTTAACAAACCTTTTAAATCAAGCAACAGAAAGTTGCTTGGAGGATCATATACGTTGTACCTCAACGTAGCTATTGTTAAGAATCACAGGGCTGCTGCCAAGATCACTAGTCCCATGTCACAGAGGAGCATGTTGCTATATGCAGCGTAAGTCCACTTTATGTACCAACAACAACATTTCCACACTCTGTAGGCACATGCAGCAGAGTAGGTAGGGGTGGCCTACCTGTGACCCTCCAGACGTTGTTGGATTCCAATTCCTATTAGTGCCTGTCAGCAATGTCAGGGACTGTGGGAGCTGTAGGGCAAGCATCTGCCTTGACTGGGTCTCACCACTATTCTATCCAGCTTAGCACTGTCCCCGGTTACTAACATTAGCTCTCCAGGATTTCAGATATGGCCTTTCTCAGTCACACCTGGAGATACCAAGGATTGAACTTGGGAAATTCTGCGTACGAAAGCATGTGCAGCACCCAGGAGCTACAGCTCCTCCACAACTTTGTTGGCTGGACCTCAGTTTCAGAAACACAATAAACATTCTTGCCCACCTGAAAAAGTATGCAGTTTTGATAAAAATTTCAGTTTTCAAGATCCACTTGTTCAGAAGCTGCTGCACAAAACCTCTAACTATTCAATTTCACACACCCCAAAAAACCCCTAAGCTTACAGTTATTACACATATTGAGAAATAGGCGACAAGACACATTTGTCTGTTCTCCTCACCTGAGCCTTGCTAGAATTATACACATTCCAACTCTTTAAAGGACATTTTGCTTCATCAGACATGCTTAGAAACATGTCTAAACTTCCTCTCCCTGGTTTGGAGTGTCATGGGACTGGGGCAGCTTTGAATACTTCAGCTCCAAGCTGCTTCACGGGAGGCTCCAGACATGTCCCTCTTTTGGCCCTACAGATGCTGGAGCTCTGACATTAGTTCAAGCAGGGCACTAAAGCCAGCAGCAAAGATAGAGGCTCATATGAGATGCCCCTGTCCAGATCTCTGCCTTCAGTATCAGTGCTATCTATTGTATGGCCCTTGATACACTCTCTCAGAGATGGTAAGATTACATCCACAGAGAACTTTAGAAGCAAATATAAATTGTAATTAGCAGATATATAGCATATTAATAAGGAAAGGGCCAAGATGACTCAATATGCAGTACCCACTTGCCAAAACCACCAGGTGAATGTGTGTGCACGCAATCTGGAGGCTTGAGATTCAAAAGCCAAGCATATCACCAAACCACTAGGAATATAGCTTGAGGCACAAGAACTCTGGGGAAATATTATGATTTGGCACCAATTTCTCTCTCTTTATATGGCTGCTGTTTCCAACCATTTCAAGTCTTGGGTGCTACTTCACATGTTATCTATATGGCATATGAAGCAACACAAAAACCAGGCCAATAAAAACAGTAGCATGTACTTTTTGACTTTTGAACCTCATCATACAGCAGCACAATTTCAGAATTCTGATAACATATTACTTATCTACCTAGTTTTTAGAATTCATCAAGTTTTTTTTGTACAAACAGTACTTCAGGCAGGCAATTATGGATTAATAAAAATGAACACATCCACCTGAGCTAGAAGGATTCAAATGTATGCAAGAAGCACTTTGCCTGATTAAATAAACCAAGGAAGACTGCAGCTTCCAGGTATGAAATAAGTCTTTTATCCATGTTTTCCTAGTAAGAAGGTTTTCATAAATCACAAAACTACCATTGGGGGAACCATCATATTCTGTTTTTCCATCTTTACCAGCAGGACAACACTGGCCTGGTTCATACATCATACAGCACACTACACTATACTACATTACAGTACAGTACACTACACCAAACCAAACCAAACCAAACCAAACCAAACCATGGCTCAGTCCAAATGTGAGTGTGCAAGTTTCCAGAGAACAGCATGACCTCCCCAGTGGTTCCGGCTGCTGTGTTACACTAAGCCATAGCTTGATTTAGCATGTTGTCTGAACCCAGGCTCACAGTTTAGCTCTTCCAAACAAACAATGAGCCACAAACCATGGGACAAATTTGGGTTACATCTAATGGTTAGTATGGAGACAGTTAAACCACAAACCCAGGACCACATGCTAAGTCAAGCGCTGACTTAGCATAAGCAGCAGAGTGACTAGGGAGGAGTAAAGCAGGCACAAATCTGTGTCCTGGGACCTGTGTGTTTATGCTAAGCTATGGTTTGGCTTAGGGTGACATGAAAACCAGGTCACCATGAAGATGCCAAGAGTAAACCAACAAAAACACAGCATTAAGATGGAAAGATCTTCTAAAACTAGCCTTGTGACTGTGTCAATGAACCGCAAGTTACAGGAAATCATTTAAAGGTGCTGATTTGCTTAGCAAAAAGTGTATGTATGCCAGATTTTCAGGGGGCCTTTAAGCTCCCCTTTTTTCTGCACAGCTTATTAAATCCAAGGTTTTTATGCCTTAAACAAGACAATCATCTTATTAAAACCACTTTAAACTAATTATTTTTTCCTGCTCAAGATCTCCCACTACCCTATCCCCCCCAAGCTGAACTCAAACACCTGCTTTTTCCTCCCACTGTTCCTTCCAACTGTCAGAACCCACTGTAACTAAGCCAACTTTGAGTCACTGACAATTAGTATTTTTTTTCCAGAATCCTAAGAGTAAATCCTAAATTTAAATTTAGAATTTAAATTAAATTTAAACACAGGTGTCACTCACATGTTATAAATACCTAAATAAGATTTTCATGTAGGAATTAAATATACAACATGTGCATCAGAATGAATTTACCCTATGCAACTCATTCATTTTTAAACAGAAGCATCTCCTGTGTCTGAATTTTCTCATGTGTGGGGTGCTTTCCTACAGAATAAAAATTAGATGGATGAGTATCTGAGTTTCAAACATCATTTAAAATCTGATTCACCCCACGAGCACAACAGCTGCAAATCACAAGCTTAGAATAAGATTCCCATTTTTAAATCTAAGAGGCACAGCAGTAATTATTCTGTTCTGAGAAGAAGAAAAAGATAGTCAAGTGCACCAACTCCTGGCCAATGACCCCAATCCATCTCTAAGGACATATCCTTAAAAGTTTGAGACGTTCTAACAAAATTAATGGCAAGAAGTTAAGAGGAAACAAAATCTACATAAAGGCTATTGAATTAAGGAACAGAGAGGTCTCTGTGGTTTGCCCAAAAGTTGTTTCTCGTTCCACTCCGTAAGCAAAAACATCCACAAGTCTACAGAAGCAGTTGTTAGGGTTGACAGAAAACAAAGCAGCAAATCAAGGTTCTGGATCCCTTATGTGACATACTTCACGCATTTATTTACGTCATTAAGTGGAACAAAGGGCTTCTGCCCCGTTTCCCAATACTTACTGTCAATTCCCACATCCTCAGTTATTCCCGAACCTCTCATTCTTAGGTACGTGAGCCCCAATATCAGAAAGAACAAGCATGCAGCAGTTAAGAGGAACATAGACAGGTAATGGGCACTGAAGCCTCCTGTGGTGGATACTTCTTCTCTCTTGAACTGCTGCAGAAGATCCTCCTCGGGCTCCGAAACCTTCTGCTTGTAGGTGTTTTTCGGATAAGTGTGATTTGAACCTGTGTGGTTGGAGTGATTGATTCTAGTGGACGAGGAAGTGGTAGCACCTGGAGAGAGGCTGGTGGTAGCAGTATATATCCTAGGTTCCACATTGTAGCCACCAGTGAGGATATGATTGTTGGCTGGTTTCCTGTCCCCGCCCAAGGAATCAGTCATTTTGCTACTACTGTCCAAGCCGCTGAGCAGCGGCGGAAGAAACAGCTGCTGGTGGGCTTTCCTCGCAGAGCCACCACCGCCGCGGTACCTGGGGAGGAGAGGCGGACTGGAGTCCAGATACCCGCCCCTTTTCGCCAGGTCGACCTCCTCCTCTTCTTCCTCCTCGTCTTCCTCTCGACTTCTCCCCCTGTCACTGCTCCTGCCAGGAGCAGCCACCCTAACATTCAATGCACGGCCACTACCAACACCCTGGCCAGTCTCCATCAAGCCCCCTGCTGCACCTGCCTGGCCCGAGAACGGCGAGGCAGGTCTGTTAAGGCTCCTTCGGGCCAGGTAGTGGCGGGCAAGCGCCTCCTCTCTCAGCACCTGCTGCTTGGCCCCCGTCGCAACCGCCGCCGCCGCCTCTTCTTCCTCCGAGTCCGAGTACTTGTCCCTCCTGCTGGAGAGGAACCGGCTCCCGTTCACGGCGCGGTTCTTGGAGCGCTCCTGCTGCTGCGGCTGCTCCTCCTGGGGCTCGTCTTCGACGGCGGCGGCGGCGGCTGCTTCCTCGTCGTCCTCCTCCCCGTCGTCGTCGTCCTCTCCGCCGCCCGGAATCTGCTCCCGAGCTCCAGCCGCCCGCCTGGCCGTCGCCCCCCACCAGGCATGGGGCTTCCTCCGAAGAGGCGGCGCCGCCGCGCTGCTGGGGAGGCAGCCAGTGCCCACGGCTGCCGCCGCCGCCGCCGCCGCAGGCCTCGCGTCCCTCCGGGAGGCTGAGCCCCGCTCCCGCCGGCTGCCCGCGGCGCCAGCCGGGCCCCGGGGACCGGCCTCCGCATCCGACTCGTCAGAGCTGAAGCCCAGCAGCACTTTGCCGCCGCCGCCGCCGCCGCGGGCCCGGACGCCGCCGCCGCCGGCCGCCCCCGACAGGGAGGAGGAGGAGGAGAGGTCGGCGCTGGCCAGCCGAGACGCCAAACCGCCGCCTGCCCCGGGGTTATTGTTGTTACTGTTCCGGGTCTTGCTGGCGGCGGCGGCGGCGGCGGCTCGGGCCCCGCCAGCTCGCTCTTCCTCGCGGAGCTTCTTGAGCTTCTTCAGGTAGACGGGCCGTGTGCTCTCGGTGACGGGCCCCGGCGAGAAGCCGAGTCGCCTCAGCTCGGAGAAAAGCTCCTCGTCGGTAAGCTGCGCGGCGGCGGCGGCAGCCGCCATTTTCCTCCCTCAACAGCCGCCGCGGCCGCTTCCTACCCACGCGCCGAAGCTCCGGTCCCCGCCCAAGGGGCTGCGGTCTTATAGGTTCCTCTGACGAGAGTTCCGGTTCGCCGATGGAAGCCCTGCCATGTGCGGGGTGAAAAAGGAGAGTTAAGCGCTGCACGCGCGCGCTCTGCTCATAGCTTCGAGAAAAGGGGAAAGCCGACCCAGTCTCCAAGGGCGAAGTTTTTATTCCTGACAGGATTCACACCTTGGCTTGGACGGAAATTGAAGAGATGGGGTGGGTTTCACTCGCTGAGTTTCTGTGCCGCACCTGGTTTTTTAGAGAACCTTTCAGGTGTGTGCCGTTTTCTGCACACACACACCCACACACACACCCAAAAGTAGGAAACGGTCTTTATCTGATGGAATCAGATTCTGCGTTTACTTTCTGTGACACAGCCAGAAGTTTAACAGTTTACAGCGCACCTCCGTTTATTATGCACACCTGTTGAATTTCTGCCTGCTGCCAACTTTGAAAGGCACGAGGCTTCCCAGTGGAAGCCCTGCGGACTTCAACCAGTTCCACCCTGGTATAAAACCATTGCTTCAAGTATCAAACACGGATCCTCCTGGCGCTGCGATCCTGTACATGCCCACCTGAAAGTGCGCTTGCTGGGCTCCTTTGGCAGGAAGGGCGAGATGCAGATTTAATTATTGCTCTGTGTGTGGATAGGGCCGTCAGTATATTTGCACACATAGTGTGCAGCTGTGCTGGGAATCCTTTGAAAGCTTCCTTCGCCCAGGTAGAGATCCGCACTTGCTTGGCTTAGGGAAGTCTAATCAGAACAAGGAAGCGATAGGTGTTTGAAGCTTCAGGGTTTTTGTTTTATCCCTTTGGTCCCCGCCGGCCGGAACTGACGCGTGCGCACTAGACTGTGGCCTAGACCCGCCCGTCACCCTGGAAGCGCCGCTCTGCCCGCCAGGGAGGGAGGCGGGTTGTGTGGGCTTCCTAAATTCAAGATCTCTCTCTCTCTCTGGGACAGAGAGGCTGCAAACTCCCATCACGACCCCAAAGTACAAGCAGTAGGCGTGTCATGTAAAAGCACACAGTGTTACACACACACACACACACACACACACACACACACACACGTGTCTTCCTTATTAGGGACGTTTTTGTTCCATGTGTCTGGAATAGCAACTTAATAAGCAAACACTCCCTTCCTGTACAAAGGGCACGAAGTCCAAACGGAGAGAGGCTGTAATTCAGTTTTGGGGCCACCCTACACGTGTAGGGGAATCCTAACGTCCTGAACTGAAGAGCTCTCTCTGTGTTCTTTAAAGGAACAGCTGTAAAAGACTTTTAGCAGCTTCGTGTCCTGCATCCTGTAACAGCTTTTGCAGTGGGATGCACAGCTCAAAACGTTATTCGCGTGACCATAATGCAGCCAGATCCAAAACCTCCCTCCAAAAATGGGTTTGCTTCAAGATGCTATTTGTTCTCACCACCGTGGCTGATGCTACCAGCTCCTTTACCATGACCAAATAGCAAGTGACCCCAGTGTGCATTTACCTACTCGGTCATCCCCTAAAAGCGCGATAAAATACTCCTTAGGACTTGACACGATGATACAAAATTGAGTTCCTCCAGTTCACCTGAGATAATTTCCAGTCATTCTGTATGGGCTCCATGTCCTACTTCCAAGTGGTGAACTTTGTCACATTCCTTCTAATAATGAATATTATTCCTAGCAAATGCCGATAGGATGTTGGAACCAAATTCGGAAATGGAGGTATCCACATGCTCAGACACTGTGACCGTTTTTTTAAAAAGAGAAGGCGGGGAATAAGGCATTTGGATAAAACAGGTTAAAAATAAGAGGGACTTCTGTGACTGTGTACAACCCTATGCTAATTACTTACAAGAAGGCTTTTTAGTTTACGCATGAGTAACAGTGTAGATGGTAAATGAGGGATGGAATGGATCCTGATGGGAGGGACAAAGACTGCATTCCATAGTCCATTTTTAAGGCCTCTCTCCCATGCCAGTTGGAGGAGGAGGATGGCAAGCAAGCTTTGGTTAGCAAGAGAAAATATAAATTATGCACTACATTTATTTTACATAACATGCAGCAGCCACCAAAGTTAGCTTCCTACCCCACTCAGCCCAGACATTTAATCTAATTTGTTTGTTTAGATTATGCACAGCACCCAAGAATCAACACTCTTGTCAAGAAGCAAGTCGTCCAGTTCCATGATGCTGTTGTTACATGACAGTTGTGAATAGTCCTCTTTTATGCAGTGATCGGAGATTACTCCATGTCTGCAAAGCTTTCTGTTTTCCTGATCTGAGAAAGAGCAGCCACAAGAAGGAATAAGAATAGGATGTGTTGTTTATAAAGTATATAGTATTAGCTACTAGGTCTCATGATATCTCCTGAAGGTGTATGAAGCCTCCACCTTGCTGGAGCTAAGCAGGTCTGGGTTTGGGGAATGCCTGGAAGGATGAGCATTTGTGTGCTGCTTTGAAAATGCTAATAACAGATATTGGGCTGTCACTGTTTGCAGAAATCTTAGCTCAACATAGGAGCTTTCATTCAGGAACTGATCCATCCATCAGTTAAATCCGCAGATTTGCATATGAATAAAATACATTTGAGAGAAATGTTTGCTTTTTTCTAAGAGGGTGTCTGTCACAGTTCTGGGAAGTTCTTGAATTGTATATACAGTGGTACCTTGGGTTACATTCGCTTCAGGTTATAGACACTTCAGGTTACAGACTCTGCTAACCCAGAAATAGTACCTCAGGTTAAGAACTTTGCTTCAGGATGAGAACAGAAATCGTGCTCCAGCGGCACGGCAGCAGCAGGAGGTCCCATTAGCTAAAGTGGTGCTTCAGGTTAAGTACAGATTCAGGTTAAGAATGGACCTCTGGAACGAATTAAGTACTTAACCCGAGATACCACTGTATATACTAACCATGATCTCCAATGAGTTTGGCTAATGTCACCCAGATGGGAGGTGTCAAGAGGGAGGTGCTAGCAGCCTCAAGGAGACTTCAAGATCTGCAGAAAGTTGGGTGTGGAAATCTCAAGTAAAAAACCCTAAGGGAGCAAAGATTGTCCAGAACAGCACACTCAGCACGCATGGAATGATGCTGACTCACTCTGTGTGTGTGTGTGCGTGTAATGGAGTAGCCTAAACAAAAGGACTGCACACAGCAGTGTTTTGCTGTAAGTCCCATTTCTAAAATAATTTACCTTTTTTATATATAAGACAAATTATGTGAAAAAGCAGCTGGTGACATTTGTTTGCTTGCTTCCTTTTATATCCTACCTTTCTCTCCAATTAGCTTGAGGTGGCATACATGGTTCTCCCCGCCCCCCCAATTTAATCCCTACAAAAACTCGGTGGGGTAGGTTAGACTAAGAGGCAGTGCCTGGCCCAAGGTCACCCAGTGAGCTTTGTGGTCAAGTGGGGATTATGAACCCTGGTCTCCCAGGTCCTACTCAGACACTGTAACCACTAAACCACACTGGCTCTCAACAGGCATTAAGTTCAGAATAAACTTTGGCTTTGCAGCTAGCCCAGACACATGCATTTCATCCTTTCCTGGTGGGTGGGTGGTCAACATTCCTTGTCATACCACATCAATGGCTTAAGCAACAGTGTTTAGCATTTTCATACCCCGTGACCCACATGCATTTGCAGACTCCTTAATTTGTTTACCATATACTTCTGTGGCTGTCATGCTGCTGTTCTAACCCACCTTAGGTCAAAGGGCAAGCCACCAAGCAGAGCACAGAGCAGCCTTCTCCAAGCCTTGGTCCCAGATGCCTTTGGACTTCAACTTCCATCATCCCTGACCATAAGCCATGCTGCCGGAGTTGACAGGAGCTGTAGTTCACCTACACTTGGGCTCAAGGTTGGGTAAGGCTAGCCTAGAGAACCTCTGTCATTAGCAGGGCTACCACATGGGAAAGGACATTCAAGCCACTCGCCCAGCCTCTGGCAGCAGCCGCAACATCCCTGTAAAGCAGTGGCACTGCAACCATAGCATAGGCAATCTGAGATTCAATGCCTATAGTGCCCCTCTTCATCATTTACATTCCTCCCAGCAGCTTGCAGACCACTTATAAAGGCCATCTCCAACTCCTCAAAAGATCCATCAACGGTGTCTCCAAAAAATTTTGCACATCACTTGGGAAGACAGGAGAACGAACGCCAGTGTAGTGGAAGAAGCAAAGATCATCGGTGTCAAAAGCAATGATTCTTCAACATCAACTTTGTTGGACAGGTCATGTTGTTCAGATGGCTGATTATCATCTTCCAATGCAACTACTCTATTCCAAACATAAAAATGGAAAGCGTAATGCCGGTGGTCAACAAAGAGGTTGGAAGACTCTCTCAAGGCAAATCTAAAGAAATATAGTATTAACACCAACAACTGGGAAACACTGGCTGTGAGCACTCCAATTGGAGAACAGCCTTTACCAAAGGTGTCGTGGGCTATTGAAGACGCTTGAACTCAGGATGAAAGGGAGAAAGGTGCTAAGAGGAAGGCACGCTTGGCAAACCCTCACCGTGAACAACTCCGGCCCGGAAAGCTATGTCCCCACTGTGGAAGGAAGTGTGGATCCAGAACTGGCCTCCACAGTCACTTACGGACTCGCTGTTAAAACTGTGTTCATGGAAGACAATCTTACTCCAGTGATCACCAAAGAAGAAGAAGACTCTTCTGCACTGGCCCATAGCTGATGGAGGTGAGGGGGGTGAGCAGGTGAAGGGGAAGATCACTTTTGGGAGGCAGTGAGGATTCCACTAGAGAGCCATTTGCAGAGGCTAAGAATATAAGGGAAGTCCTGATGGAGCAGAGCAGACGTCCATCTCAGTTCCACAGCAGCCAGTCACTTGTGGAGATCCTTCTTAATTGTTGGCAACCGGATACTCTGTGGCAGATATACTGCCCTGGGCAGAGCAATCTAAGCTGCAGGAAGCCAGTGTAACTTACACCAGGGCAATTTATGCCAGTGTAACTTACCCCTGTTGCAAACTCCTTTCAGGAGTGTGGCTGCTGCCAGCTAATTCAGCCCCACCCAGCCTTTTG